GAATTGAGATGTCCAAAGTGAAGAGAGAGTACACATTTTATTGCTCCTGTGCGGTTCTGGGTAATACGCTCTTACTTTCTCACTTCCTTGCTCGGCTTTTGGGCTTTATATGCATTTATTCTTGTAGAGAATTCTATTGCGAACACATTGATACCAAATTGAAAAACCTAGGACGAGAAATGAGATGACAAGGTAGAAACGAGTATACACTTTTCAGTATTCCCTCGCTCTCTAATGTAATGAGAGGCGCCTTGGGGTGACGCAGTGCTCTCTTTCCGGGCCACATTCACCTGGTCGGCGGGTGGAGCGCGCTGCGTTTTTTTACTTCAAATGCATATGCTCTTGTTGGGAATTCTATGGCGAACACAATGATACCAAAATGAAAGCCCTAGGACAGGATTTGAGGTGACAAACGTGAAAGGAGTGTACACATTTTATCGCTCTTATGCGTTCCCGGGTAACACGCACCGACTTTCTCTGTTTGTTGTGGATGGTACGCCGGGCTTTTGGACTTTATATGTCTTTAGTCGTGTAGAGAATTCTATTGTGATCACAATGATATCAAATTGAAAAACCCTAGGACGAGAATTGAGGTGACACTTTTCAGAATTACCGCACGCGCCCGTGAAACACTGAGGCCCACCCGGGCTAGTGTGGGTCTCGTGCGTGCGGTGTGCCAAAGTGTTAAGTGCCATGCACTCGGTCGGCCCATATGTGTAATTACCTAAGTGTAATTACCTAAGTGTAATTACCTAAGTGTAATTACCTAAGTGTAGTTACAGGATGAGAGCTACGCTCGTGGTGTCCCGTCTTCCCAGCACTCTTTGTCATATAACGCTTTGAAACTACTGACGGTCTTGGCCTCCACCACCTTCTCCCCTAACTTGTTCCAACCGTCTACCACTCTGTTTGCGAAAGTGAATTTTCTTATATTTCTTCGGCATCTGTGTTTAGCTAGTTTATATCTATGACCTCTTGTTCTTGAAGTTCCAGGTCCCGGGAAATCTTCTCTATCGATTTTATCAATTCCTGTTACTATTTTGTATGTAGTGATCATATCACCTCTTTCTTCTGTCTTCTAGTTTTGGCATATTTAATGCCTCTAACCTCTCCTCGTAGCTCTTGTCCTTCAGTTCTGGGAGCCACTTAGTAGCATGTCTTTGCACCTTTTCCAGTTTGTTGATGTGCTTCTTAATATATGGGCACCACACAAGTGCTGCATATTCTAGCTTTGGCCTAACAAAAGTCGTGAACAATTTCTTTAGTATATCGCCATCCATGTATTTAAAAGCAATTCTGAAGTTAAAAAGCGTGGCATAGGCTCCTCGCACAATATTCTTTATGTGGTCCTCAGGTGATAGTTTTCTATCAAGAACCACCCCTAGATCTCTTTCTTTATCAGAATTCTTTAAAGATTTCTCACATAATATATAGGTTGTGTGTGTGTATCAACAAACTTAACCCTTAAAGTGCGCATCACGTCATATGACGTGCTGGACGTTGTTCCAGTCAACTGCGCATCACGTCATATGATGTGTTGGAGTACTACGCAAGATTTAAACAGCCCGCGGATACATGGGGTTCACCACACCTTCATCAGGGCTCTTGTAAACAGACGCCATTTTTAAAAAAAATCGTGGGCTAAACTCCCAGGTGTTATTGGCCTCAGTATTGAGTGAGCAACCAAGCCTGATGCACGCAGCATGAGCTAACAGCACTGCTGTTCAGCTTGTAACCACAGCATCGCCTAAAAATGCCATATTATACTTGTTCATGCTATTATGTAGCGATGATATTATTACAGAAGACCCCTGACTGTGATAAAACTGACCAGGGTTCTGATAATAGCAGGATTGTGGTGATATTTAGCGCTGTGCGCCATGGAGGGAGGAGTAATGCTGTGGGAGGGAGGGTGGTGGCGATGTCTTTTGACTGTGTGTACTTACCTAATTACCTAATTGTACTTACCTAATTGTGCTTGCGGGGGTTGAGCTCTGGCTCTTTGGTCCCGCCTCTCAACCGTCAATCAACTGGTGTACAGATTCCTGAGCCTATTGGGCTCTATCATATCTACATTTGAAACTGTGAATGGAGTCAGCCTCCACCACATCACTTCCTAATGCATTCCATTTGCTAACTACTCTGACACTGAAAAAGTTCTTTCTAACGTCTCTGTGGCTCATTTGGGTACTCAGCTTCCACCTGTGTCCCCTTGTTCGCGTCCCACCAGTGTTGAAAAGTTCGTCCTTGTTTACCCGGTCGATTCCCCTGAGGATTTTGTAGGTTGTGATCATGTCCCCCCTTACTCTTCTGTCTTCCAGTGTCGTGAGGTGCATTTCCCGCAGCCTTTCCTCATAACTCATGCCTCTTAGTTCTGGGACTAGTCTAGTAGCATACCTTTGGACTTTTTCCAGCTTCGTCTTGTGCTTGACAAGGTACGGGCTCCATGCTGGGGCCGCATACTCCAGGATTGGTCTTACATATGTGGTGTACAAGATTCTGAATGATTCCTTACACAGGTTCCTGAACGCCGTTCTGATGTTAGCCAGCCTCGCATATGCCGCAGACGTTATTCTCTTTATGTGGGCTTCAGGAGACAGGTTTGGTGTGATATCAACTCCTAGATCTTTCTCTCTGTCTGTTTCATTAAGTACTTCATCTCCTATTCTGTATCCTGTGCCTGGCCTCCTGTTTCCACTGCCTAGTTTCATTACTTTGCATTTACTCGGGTTGAACTTCAACAGCCATTTGTTGGACCATTCACTCAGTCTATCCAGGTCATCTTGTAGCCTCCTACTATCATCCTCTGTTTCAATCCTCCTCATAATTTTTGCATCGTCGGCAAACATTGAGAGGAACGAATCTATACCCTCTGGGAGATCATTTACATATACCAGAAACAGTATAGGTCCAAGGACTGACCCCTGCGGGACTCCACTTGTGACGTCTCGCCAATCTGAGACCTCACCCCTCACACAGACTCGTTGTCTCCTGTTGCTTAGGTATTCCTCTATCCACCGGAGTACCTTCCCTCTCACTCCAGCCTGCATCTCCAACTTTCGCACTAGCCTCTTGTGTGGCACTGTATCAAAGGCTTTCTGACAATCCAAAAATATGCAGTCTGCCCACCCTTCTCTTTCTTGCCTTATTTTTGTTGCCTGGTCGTAGAATTCAAGTAACCCTGTGAGGCAGGACCTGCCATCCCTGAACCCATGTTGATGCTGTGTTACAAAGTTCCTTCGCTCCAGATGCTCCACTAGTTTTTTTCGCACAATCTTCTCCATCAGCTTGCATGGTATGCAGGTTAGGGACACTGGCCTGTAGTTCAGTGCCTCAGTTCAGTTCAGTTCAGTGTGTGGCCCCCTTTTATTGATTGAACTCAGCATACCAGCTTAGTGGTTTGCTATGGTGAACACAAATGTAGATACTTATATATAACGTGTGTATAGAGGGTATAAATAGCAAGAGAAGGTTTGGAGCCGCCATTTTGGTGAGGGCGGTGGCGTCGTCTGCATGACGCCACCGTGCAGACGACGGTGTTGTTTACTGGTTACCACGATGGTCTTTGGGCACCATACCAGTTTATTTGTACAAGTATGGTGAATAAAACAGGTAGATATTTATATATAATGTGTGTATATAGCGTAATAACACCACACAGTATTGTTGGAGGAGAAATATTAGTGCGTCTGGCCTTGAGGGCGGCCGCCGATCAGCTGACTGTGTGAGTAGCCACATCTTTATGCCTTTACTCACCATACAAGCTTAGATGTACAGTTATGGTGAACAAAACATGTAGACACTTATATATAACGTCTGTATACAGTGAATTATAGCAAAAACATTGTGGGAGGAGAATGTGGGTGAGTCAGATGACTGGAGGGAGGGCGGGAGTGGCTGGCTGGTAAACGGCGGTCACTCCGTTATTTTTTTACTCATAATAGCTACTTAGTGGTTCGTTATAGTGAACAAAACATGCAGATACTTATATATAACCTGTGCTTATAATGTAATAACCGACAAAGTATTTGTTCACTGTTTGATGAACATAATTGAATCAACAATATGCACACCATATTTTTGAGTACGGCAATGATTCACTCATTTTATTATATAAATATATCAAACCACACACTATTGAATAATATTACAGCAAAAAGTATGAAAAATCAATCGAAGACATTGAAATAATTCGGTAATTATCTCTTTGTGGCAACTCCGGCCTGACAGCTGGCGAGCAACAGACCGCCTGGGACGCACACTAAGTCAGCGCCTATAATTTGCCACACTTCCCCGCCCTATAGCGGGCAATATATGCCACTTACGATTTTTTTATTATTTTTCCCGTGATCAGTGAACACAAATTAACAGGTTTGGAAGAAAAAATAATTTTTTTTTTTTTTCAAAATGACATGCGCCTGTGGGGATGACAGGATATTAAACTCCGAGCATGTTAAGGGTTAAGCACCGAGTTTAATTTTTCGTAGAAATTAAGCTCGAGAACCAAAAAATTTGAAAACAGGCATTTGAAAACCAAGGTTCCACTGTACTACTACCTAATAAACTCAATGTAACCTACCTTAGCTCCTAAATGTCAACCTATGTATTGCTATTTTCAAACAATATTAATTATTGACCAACTTGTTTAACTGCTGATATCTGTCATGTATAAACTTAATAAACAGAGGATTACAATTTTCTTTTAGTTAAACTTCCTTCTGCTGTTCTGTTGCATCCATTATGTAATTATTATCATTCTCTTTCTTTTTTTCCTTTTTTCAATTCAATTTACATTTTTGATCTCAATTAGTATTAAGTTTTAGTCCAAGTTTTTTTCCCCACAACTTGCTCAAAATGCTGTGTGTATTAATGGCTTCAGGCATTGTATGTACTAGCTCTATCTACTAATCCAACATTATGTTTGTAACTCATTTTCAATGTATGTATCTTTATCTGAATAAACATATCTAATGTATGTTCAAACTACCAAATTTACTTACAGCAAAGGTAAACATTAAAAACGAAGTCAAAATTGAAGGATTTTCCAAGGCACTGTTTGAAATTATGGCATCCCACAGAACAGTAGCTGATGCCTTCAATATCTCTTGTTTATCTCTGTTACGAAACTCTTCCACAGTATTGGTGTTGATGAGAGTTCCCACGGCAGAACACGACCACTTGGATGGCGATTTGTTTCTGTAAACAATAACAAATGAAGTTAAAAATTATAAGGACTTTTTATATTTAAATATATATGGCATTTTTCAACAGTTTAATTTTTAGCAACAAATAAATGGTATTCCTGACCATGATAACACAAAATTCCACCTAAAATGATTAATGGCAACATTAGTAATAGCTGTAACATAAGATTGGGCAAGAAAGCTAAGAATAACAGAGGAAATCATGTAAAAACCAACGTTGAATATAATGAAACGGCATTTTCCGGGTGAGACCCAGAAGCTCCCTGGAGCTATTTGGGCTGATACGGTGTATTAGCTTTGGGCATCAGTCAATGTACATCGAGTTCTGTGGGGCCTACCGGGGACCATGAGCCAGAACCTGGCCTTCTCAGAGAGGCGTGAAGAGCAATGGCCTATACACACACCTTATATATAATTTAGAAGTACTCTATGTCTCTACGTCTGCCATCGATCGGGACAGGCATCCAGAATAATAGGCGCCCCCAAATCATCCCCCATTCTGGTGAAGAATTGCTACCAAAGCCGAACGAGTGGATAGAACTCCCCATGAAGCAAAACGAGCAAACGAGCATGACGTCATCTCATAACCAACGCGCCGCCATCTGCGCAACCCACCCCTTCCTGGGAGGGGAAAGGAGAAGCCTCACACCCTCCACCGGCTACCCAAGCCTGCCAGTTCTTAGACTGGATGTCAAAACATGCGAAAAGAAACTGCTGACCGAAGAGAGAGAGGGATGCCGGGAGCCTCCAGGTCTCGCCCCACAAACTGTGTTTCATTACATTCAATGCTGGTTTTCTGGGGGAAGCCCCTTCGGCTCCTCGGAGCTAACTACTCAAAGACAAGGATAAAAGAGGGACAAACCAGGGAGGTGGAAACCACACGCCGGAAACCCGAAAGTAAGACAACTGGCAACACCAAACGACCATGCGGAAAACCTGCGAGTCCCGAACTCCAGAACAGGGATGAAGAGAACCCGGCCAACGCAAAGCATGTCCAGGGCCACAGAGGCCGTGGCACACAGGCAGCCACAACCGGACACAAGATGATGCACCCCAGGCTAAACCAAACAAGCATCAACAACCCCAGAAAACCCTCCGGAAAACAATCCTGAACTGAAAGAGCCACAAAAAACCAAGAGGAAAGAAGAGAGCGGGGCGGCCAAGACCAGGATCGCTCAGGCAGCACCTGAGCTGACCGGAGGTGAAAATGCCCGAGACAGGTTCCAAAACGGAACTGAAGGACCCGCAGGGACACAGAACAGAACCCGGGGAGGAGCCAAACTCAAATCCAAGTCATCGTACGCAGAGGGGGGGGAAAAGAAAACCCCCACTCCTTGTAACAGTCAACCCCGCTCGGAGGGTCGGGAAACCCAGGTGGGGTCCAACGGGGCCCAAGGCCCCCAAGTCAGCTCCTCCCCCAACCCCGGGAACCTCCACGTCAGGCCCCAGGGCCGAGTCGTCCTCCAAAGCCCCGGCCTCACAAGAAAAAGTCGGGGGCAGCCAGAATAGCAGGAAGAGGATGGGCCCACTGGTCAAACCCCGGGGCTATGGCAGGAGGAACCGACTTGAATGCCTCTGCAGCCACCCCCAGAAAGGGCAACCCCTGAAACCACCCGAGTCTCAGAAACCACTAAACCCTGCCCCGACCCCAATGCCCTCAGATGCTTAGGAGCCGGAAGTAGGGGAGGGGGGGAAGACCGAATGAACCACAGCTTGGGAAAAATGAGGGGGCGTGGACGGAACCAAGGCCGAAGCAACCAACACCCCCCCAAGTCCGGATCCCTATAAACAAAACAGGGCAGCCTCGGGGCATCCGGGGAAGCAACCAACCTAGCACGTTGCAGCAACCTGAACCTATTCTGCAACACACAAGCTGCCTGCACCCAAATATCATCATCATCAGATTGGGTGAACCGAGTCACATACAAGCTACAGAGCTCGCAGGACTCTGGGTCGAATGTGTCACCGACCCAACAGGCAGCACAACGGAAGCAAAACAATGAGCGTCGCCCTGAGCCAAGGGGGACAGAGCAACCCTCAAACTCGCAAAAAGTAAGAGGAGGCTCAGGGGTCACATCCCTTATACCCGAGTGCCCCGCGGGGTTTTTCAGGGCCCCTAGACTGGGTATGCTAAGGGTTATCCCAGGCAGGGTACTGCTAACCAGCGCCCAAGATACCAATCAACACTGCTAAAGCTGAACCCTCGGGACATGTCCACTCACGAGGGCAAAGCAGGGGGTACCACCAAACACAAACAACCCTAATATAAAGGGGGAAGGGACACCAAGGCAGACCCCCTTCCCTCCACCCTCCCCCCCCCCTCGCCAGGCAAAAACAAAAAGAAAAAATCTCGCAAGAGGACAGGGTACCCGAGGGAATAGGGCCGGTCACTGTTATAGGTGAAAACTAGCTACGCAGTACCCTACGCCCCTACCAGTGCAAAAACTACCACTTACCCCAAGGCAAACAAGGGAGGAATCCCTCCCCCAAACACTCGGGGCGGTCAATCGCAAAGCAGCAAAAGACCAATAGAGGTAGAACCAAGGTGACTTGTGGAAGGTAACCCCAAGCCCCAAGGGCGGCACATGCAGGGCACTAAGGGAAGTTAGCTCTAAGCGCATGCAGCCCGAGTACCCTGGAATATTTCACCCAGTTCTCAAACCACCGAAGAAAAGTACTGAACCCAGGCACAGCATAAAGAGAATCTGGAGCTGGGGCCACAATGACTAAGCCTTATCCCATCAGCCGAGGAACTGAAGATGTGGATCGCCGGCGCGAGGATCTGGGGCTCCCCCTTTCCCCCTCCCGGGGAGGGAGGGGTGCTGTGCAGACATGCGGCGCGGCTCGTAATTACCTAAGTGTAATTACCTAAGTGTAATTACAGGATGAGAGCTACGCTCGTGGTGTCCCGTCTTCCCAGCACTCTTTGTCATATAACGCTTTGAAACTACTGACGGTCTTGGCCTCCACCACCTTCTCACTTAACTTGTTCCAACCGTCTACCACTCTATTTGCGAAGGTGAATTTTCTTATATTTCTTCGGCATCTGTGTTTAGCTAGTTTAAATCTATGACCTCTTGTTCTTGAAATTCCAGGTCTCAGGAAGTCTTCCCTGTCGATTTTATCAATTCCTGTAACTATTTTGTATGTAGTGATCATATCACCTCTTTTTCTTCTGTCTTCTAGTTTTGGCATATTTAATGCTTCTAACCTCTCCTCGTAGCTCTTGCCCTTCAGTTCTGGGAGCCACTTAGTAGCATGTCTTTGCACCTTTTCCAGTTTGTTGATGTGCTTCTTAAGATATGGGCACCACACAACAGCTGCATATTCTAGCTTTGGCCTAACAAAAGTCATGAACAATTTCTTTAGTATATCGCCATCCATGTATTTAAATGCAATTCTGAAGTTAGAAAGCATAGCATAGGCTCCTTGCACAATATTCTTTATGTGGTCCTCAGGTGATAGTTTTCTATCTAGAACCACTCCTAGATCTCTTTCTTTATCAGAATTCTTTAAAGATTTCTCACATAATATATAGGTTGTGTGGGGTCTATGTTCTCCTATTCCACATTCCATAACATGACATTTATTAACATTAAATTCCATTTGCCAAGTGGTGCTCCATATACTTATTTTGTCCAGGTCTTCTTGAAGGGCATGACAGTCATCTAAATTTCTTATCCTTCCTATTATCTTAGCATCATCAGCGTGTGACGTCATGCTTGCTTGCTCGTTTTCCCTTGGGGCGTTCTGTCCATTTGGTTCGTTATTTTCATTGGTTTTACCAGAATAGTGATTTGTTTTAGGGCGCTTTCCTTTCTGAGTACCTGTCCCGGTTGAAGGCAGATATAGAATGCTCCAAAATCACACGTGCATTTCTATAGGCCATTGTTTCTCGAGCCTCTCTGAGGGAGCCAGGTTCTGGCCGTGGTCCCCGGTAGGCCTATAACTCCACCCACATCGACTGATGCCAAAAGTTAAGACTATCCATATCAGCCCGGATAGCTCCAGGGAGCCACCGCAGGGACCCCTCCCCAGAAAAAAAATTGTAGACATTGGTGAAAATAACAGATTTTTCAATTGGACAATGTATTTGTATGAAATATAACAAAATAGAGCATAATAACATACATACTCATTATTATTGGTATTACCTGTATTATGTATCATCACTCGGCAATGCTCTAAAGGCAACAGCTGCATATCCACTTTGTGGACATTTTTTTTTTTTTTTTGAGATATATACAAGAGTTGTTACATTCTTGTACAGCCACTAGTACGCGTAGCGTTTCGGGCAGGTCCCTGGAATACGATCCCCTGCCGCGAAGAATCGTTTTTTCATCCAAGTACACATTTTACTGTTGCGTTAAACAGAGGCTACAGTTAAGGAATTGTGCCCAGTAATCCTTCCCGACCAGGATACGAACCCATGACATAGCGCTCGCGGAACGCCAGGCAAGTGTCTTACCACTACACCATGGAGACTGTACTGTTCTGTTCGAAACTACTGTACTGTTCTTCTTTGTGCATTGGACAGGTGCTTGCATCTATTTATTACTGCATTATCTCTCAGTTCCAGTTAATAGGAGCTGTTCTTATCAACAAAACATTCTTTTTTTTTTTTTTAATTATCTAAAATCCATTTCTGAAAATTTGTTTGGCAATAAATCCTCAAACCAAATATATCTCAGGATAAACAATACCCAAATTTGTAACAAAATAGATGGCAAATTCCTTGGCGTTCTCATTGACCAGAAGCTGAATTTCCAGGGACACATTCTAAATATATAAAAAAAAGTTTCAAAAACTGTTGGCATTCTTTCTAAGATCAGATATTATGTACCACGCCCTGCCCTGGTGATGCTCTATTACTCCCTCATTTATCCTTATCTCAACTATAGTATTTGTGCTTGGGGTTCTACTACCCAAAATCATTTACGTCCTCTAATTACTCAACACAAAGCTGCTATTAGGATAATGTCCAAGTCTGGCCCCAGACATCACTCGGTACCCCTACTCAAATCTCTGAATATGTTAGATATTAAGTCACTGCACATCCTCTCATGTGTATTATATATATATATATAAAATGCTGAACTGTAATGTCAATCCTGACCTTAAAAGCTTCCTTGAAGGTTGTAACAGAACCCATGAGCACCACACCTGAAATAAATACCTTTTTGATATTCCAAGAGTGTGACTTAATCAAACTAGAAATGCTCTACAAATCAAGGGACCCAGAATGTGGAATGACCTTCCCAATCATGTTAAAGACTGTGCCTCTTTCAACCAGTTTAAGATAAAAACTGAGCACTATCTAATTAACTCCCTTTAACCTACCTTACCCCTAAAATGTCAACCCATGTCTGCTATATTTACACAATGCTGTTTGTCGACCAAATTGTATTTTTGCTATTTTTCTGCCATGTTTCCCCTTTATTTTTTTTATGTTCTCAATACAATTTATACTTTAATCTCAATTAGTATTAATTTAACACTTTGGCGGCCCCAGCCCGCCAGCCCTCAACTAGGCCGAGTGGCCCCCAGCATTTCACAGCAGCACACGGTAATTCTGAAAAGTGTATACTCTCTTCAACTTTGTCACCTCAATTCTCGTCCAGGGTTTTTCAATTTGGTATCATTGTGTTCGCAATAGAATTCTCTACACAACTAAAGACATATAAACTCCAAAAGCCCGGCGTACCATCCACAACAGAGAAAGTGAGTGCGCGTGTTACTCGGGAGCGCATAAGAGCGATAAAATGTGTACACTCCTTTCACGTTTGTCACCTCAATTCCTGTCCTAGGTCTTTCATTTTGGTAACATTGTGTTCGCAATAGAATTCCCTACAGGAGTATATGCAAATATAAAGTCCAAAAGCCAGGCGTACCACCCACAGCAAACAGAGAAAGTGACGGAGCATAATCCCAGTGAGCGCCAATAAAATGGGTGTACTGTTTTTAACTTTGTTACCTCAATTCTGGTCCTAGATCTTTCATTTTGGTATCAATGTATTTGCAATGAAATTCCCTACAAGAGTATATGCATATAATATCCAAAACCGCTGTGCGCCCCTCCCGAAGCCACCGACAATTTGCCGCCGAAAACGACGCAATGCTGCGTCGTTACCGAGATTACGTCTACTAAAAGATGACGCAATGCTGCGTCGTTCCCGTGTGAAAGTGTTAAGTTTTAGTCTTTAGTGTTTTTCCTGCCCGAAACGCTTTGCATCATAGTGGCTTTAGGCATTGTTTGTACTAGCTCAATCTATAAATCCATCAATGTTTGTTTCACACCTTGTATGTACAGTATGTACTTTACCTGAATAAACATTTGATTTTTTTTTTGTTGAAAAAATATTGCGATGAAACTTTCACGACGCTGAAGCCAATAATTTGGAAATTTGTCTAAAATTCAATATTAATTTTCATATAATTCAAATATTTTTTCACCCAGCCCCAGCTTATACCCCAATTTACAGCTCAGGCTGTAGCAGTGCAAGGGTATACAGTATCTCAAAGTAATCTCAATACAGTATATCAAAGATGATAAAATGAAGACTAATACAAACTTATCAAGTGCATCATATTCCACACCAAGACGTGACGGCAGTCCAGGAGCATCACTATTTACGTAATACCCAGTAATAGGTATAGCATCTTCACTCAGATGAAGAACGTCCAGCTGTAATAAATGATACAATTAACTAAAAATGAAAAATAAGCATATAAAACATGATAGTATGAATCAAGCATTAATATGAAACTCCCTCACAAAACATGCAACACCTTTACTTGTTGCGCTGTATGTAAACAATGTGACTGGGGGGCGTCAACATCGCCGAATGGGAATAATCTGCATTAATGGTTCTAGCAATTACATTTGCAATATACACTGTATAAAACAGCAATTACCGAGCTGAATGATGCAATTTTGTGCTTTGTGCAATGCACAGAACCAAGCATAGAATGTAATAAAACATCCAGGTCCAAGAAAGGTGGGGCTCAATGTCAAATGACCACAAACGTAGAGGTCAAAAGTTGGCACTACAGGGCACTGCTCTACAACAGCCCCACAAGGGCAGAGGTCGGCAGCAGCCAACTAAGGCAGGAAGAAGTCAGCCCTGTATCAACAGATGAATTTTGCTATGCATTTTTAGGTCTGGATTTTCATGGGTTCACTGATCAGTAGTTAGTTTAATATTTCACATAACAAACAGAAAAATATATTCTCACAATAGAAAGTAAATAAAATACCTTAATATGATATGGCTACACAATGTCAGGGACAGAAAACCTGTTAGTATTATCGACGTGAACCTTGCTAAGGGTGAAGCTGTCCAGGTGCTCACTCAACCAATTACTGGTCCAACCCAATGATATTTAACTGACTGACCTGGTGGTACTGACTGACCAGCCATTAATTTTAAGGTTTTTGCTGTTATACAGTACTGGAGTTTTTGATCAGATCAGCTCATATCCCATTCCCCGGATGATTCATAAGAGCCCATTCAAAGTTACACTGTTGTGCTTTGTGCTTTAGCTGCCCCAAATTCAACAACAACAACAAGTAAATACTCTACTCAATTTACAAGGAAATGTGAACATATTGGACAGTGAAGCCATTTCATATTTTATCCAAATTCACTTTTTAAAACAATATACTGTAAAGGTTATTGAAAATATATTTCTTTAGTGTTATTGAAAAGCACAAGTGATGGGTGATGTGATCGCATATAATTAAAGTTCAAAATTTAATAATTTTATAAGGAAATATACGGACATCAAAATTTAAAAAATAAAACATCTGAAATATTTTCCTTCACTGTTATTGGCAAGCACAATTGAAAGTGATTTCACATAACTGGAGTTGTAAATACTAATTTTAAATAATAAATAAGGAAACGTGACCATAAATAATAAAAACTTTCCTATCTGAAGTTAATTTCAAGGTACTCCCTGCAACAATTCAGTACATTTCATAACTAGTAGTCTTCATGACACTCGAGGTGCTTAAAACTAGTATTATTATGAAATAAAATGAATTACAGTTTGTAATTTCTTTGTTTTATTGATTGGAAATGATTTTTACAAAATATATTGACAAGTCATAAATTAAATATTTAATTTAAAAATAAATACAGTACTGTACTGTAATATAAAAAAGCAAATTCGGAGATCATAATATTTTTGTTATTTAAAATTAGTGATACCAGAGATCAAAATATTTTAAGTAATCAAGTTAATAAAAATAATACAAAAGTATATACTGTATTACATTTATTTAAATGTTCCTTAAGCCATTTGTATTACCAATAGAGTAAATCTGAATACATGTAGCTCCTTACCTTGAGCTGAGTGAATTTATGCCAGAACCCAGCATCAACAGCCGAGCTGAAGGGAGCAAATTTTAGGATCGAGGGTTCTTCCATTCTTTGGCAATGTGCAGCTCTGAAATAATTAAAGCTTCCATATTAGGAATTGTTTTTTAACAGTTTTACTATCAAATTAATTTAACATTTGTATGTACACGAGATTTGCCTAATACTGTAGCTGCTTACATCTACAGAATATGAATTACATTCAATTTCAACCACCAATTTACATGCTGTAGCCACATAGTGCAATTTATTTACAGAGTATTTACTGTACTTAGGGTTTTTACAGCACATTACCAGTTTTTGTGGCTGTGTAACATCTGTTTCACAAACATACTTGTCTTGGAGCAACAGGGGGTTAAAAATATTGTACAGTATTTTCACATTTATAAATTTGTATACAAAAAATATCTATTTTCAGTCGTTCTATTAATTAAACAAACTACAAGCATTCCCTAGACAAAATATCATTATATGGCCAATAACAATAACTGATATTTTTGTCTACATTTTTTTATAAATTCTCTACTGGGAAAGTGTTTTTTTAATATGAAATACGGTACATACATATTTTATGTTAGCAGTCCTAGTGGCTTCACAAGGATGTAAGAACGTTTGAATACAGTATATAAAATAAAGTAAAAAAGCAACATGAGAAATTATGAGCAATATCTTATTAAGGCAGTTGTCCGAGACATTGTGATAGGGACATATGCTGTGCTTTCCAACTTCAGAATCACTTTTAAAAGCATATATTTATGTGAAATATGATGAAATACTAAAGAAATTGTATGAAAAGAACTCAACCTTAGCGAGTTCAAAGCTGGAATATGCAGTGGTTGTACGATTTAATACTAAGTGTAATAAGTACACTTTCTTACTGTCATAAACAGTGCATAATTGCACTTATGGGGCTGTTACATTTACCCAACTCCCTCCCCCGATTTAATTCTCCTCGTTTTCTGTCAAGACACTCAAGAATTTTAGGATGAAGTTTTCATTTTCAATTTACAATATACAAGTTTTAAATATCAAGAATTTCTTTTTCAGATTTATTAAACAATATAGATTTTATACAAAATTTTAAAATATCCCGAGTTACTTTACAATTTATTGATATATTTTAGTTTTGTTTTATTAGTTTTATAAAACTGTAATATCAATATAGCTATAGGTTAAGTACTAATTATAATTAAGAAGCAATAAAATTATCTTCAAAAACTAAGACGGTTAGGTGAGGTCGTGGTTGTCTATTCAGTTTTTCAGGTAAACTCAAATATTCACAATATATTTGACAGTACGATTTAATACTAAGTGAAAATAAGTACATTTCCTAACTGCTATCAATAGTACATAATTGCACTTATTTGTCTTCTTACATTTACCACCCCATTTTTGGAGGACGGGATGATCAATACAGTAAGTGTTATCTAAATGAGCAAATCAATAAACTGGAAAAGGTGCAAAGACATGCAACTATATGTATTATACGTATTATACATGTATTATATACGTATTATATATGTATATGTATTATACATATATAAAACGCTAAACTATAATGCCAATCCTGATCTCAAAAGCTTCATAGAAGGTTGTATCAGAACCCATGAGCATCACACCAGAAATAAATACAGTTTTGATATTCCTAGAGTATGACTTAATCAAACTAGAAATGCTCTACAAATCAAGGGGCCCAGAATGTGGAATGACCTTCCCAACCATGTTAAAGACTGTACCTCTCTCAACCAGTTTAAGTTAAAAGCGAAGCTATACCTAATAAATTCCCTGTAACCTACCTTACCCTTCTATTGTCAACCAATGTCTGTTTTTTTTAAAGAGCGCTGTTTGTCGACATAATTGTATTTGTGCTGCTTTTTCATCTATGTTTTCATTTCTTGTTTTCATTCTACTCATTATGCTCAATTAGTATTAAGCTTGTCATTTAAGTTTATCATGCCCGAAACGCTTTGCGTAATAGTGGCTTTAGGCATTGTATGTACTAGCTCTACCTATAAGTCAAACAATCCTTGTAAATATTTATTGTATGTATGTACCTTACCTAAATAAAATTGTATTGTATTGTTGTATTGTTGTAACTAAATGGCTCCCAAAACTGAAAGACAAGAGCTACAAGTAGAGGTTAGAGGCATTAAATATGCCCAAACTAGAAGATTGAAGAAAAAGAGGCGATATGACCAGTACTGTACGTACAAAATTGTAACAGGAATCAACAAAATTGAAAGGGAAGAATTCCCATGACCTGGAACTTCAAGAACAAGAGGTCATAGTTTTAAACTAAACAAAGCTGACGAAGAAATACAAGAAATTTTACTTAAAAAAAAAAAAAAAGTGGTAGACAGTTGAAACAAACTAAGTGAGAAGGTGGGGGAGGCCAAAACCATCAATAGTTTTGAAGTGTTATATGACAAAGAGTGCTGGGAAGACGGGACACCACGAGCGTAGCTCTCATCCTGTAACTACACTTAGGTAATTACATGATTCTGTATATATGATGACTTGTAATACAGAAAATGAACACCTAACAATGTATAAAACACTAATTCTGGTGATAATGAAATACTGAACAGTTTGTAAAATGATAATTCATAGAGGAAATCTTTGAGAGAGGATAAAGTCACTTCGTATCCAAGACACTTCTCCCAACAGATTTTAAGTCTACCTTTATTTACTTATATACAAGGTACATTGGGTTTGTGAGAGAATTTATTTATTTATTTATATATATACACACAAGGTACACTGGGTTTATGAGAGTACACATCATTGATGTTCATCATTGATGTTCTTACATTCCTGTAAAGCCACTAACACCCATAGCGTTTCGGGCAGCTCCTTAATCTAACAGATAATGTTAAGTAGGTAATTTCTAGTAAAATTGAGAAATGTTAACACGTACTTGTAAAAAAAATTTGACAAAGATCAGTAGGTACATTATAGTACAGTACAATACAATACAATACAATACAATTTATTTAGGTAAGGTACATACATACAATAAATATTTACAAGGATTGGTTGACTTATAGGTAGAGCTAGTACATACAATGCCTAAAGCCACTATTACGCAAAGCGTTTCGGGCATGATAAACTTAAATGACAAGCTTAATACTAATTGAGCATAATGAGTAGAATGAAAACAAGAAATGAAAACATAGATGAAAAAGCAGCACAAATACAATTATGTCGACAAACAGCGACAATGAGGAGAATTATACACGGGTACATTGTAGCGTTCAATATAACATAACATTGGTCTTCTTGCAAAGCTACTAACACCTAACCTTACTAGGATTAAGACTAAACTAAAACTAGCGCTGACTAAGGCTGTGTCATGTGCTAACTACTCACTCCCCTCCCAGGCCTCTGTATCCATGTATCTTCACTGTAATAATATTCAAATTGAATTATAATTGGGACGACGACTTGCTGACGCTGCGGATAATAGGTCAGTGGGTGTTCAACAACAATAATACAAGTGTTATAATATAACAGAAGGAACACAAGTGAACACACTGACATATGTAAACAAAGATTGGAGAAAGACTGCAACACATCCACTCACTCGCGCTGCTGGTAACACACTGACGCCAGCTGGACCTTGACGTCTACACCAGCAGGTTGCTGGGCCAAATATTTAACCCTTCTATTTAAAATTAATAAAATAAATAAATCATATTGTGTGTGTAAATCGCGAAAATAAACACGTGATTAAATCATATTGTATAAAAAAGTAGGAGTGGCAGGAGAGGAAAATATTAGTGTGTTTATAAGAATCTAACAGGTCTTCTCTGAATAACCTTTATTCTTGATTTGGGTTCCTACAATTGCACTAGAGGTGGTATATTTTGAGAATTAGGCTGGGATATCTATATCTATGGCAGGTGGCTGCAGGTAATGAATCCCCCAATGGTGAACATTCCAATTGTAAACTAGGTGAACAAGAGCTGGGACATACTCTCCAACACTATATCAGACCAAATGGTATGAGGTACTTTGAGCTCTATAATTACTTCATACACTCAGGAATATTGGAAAATATTCTTGTGCTCTACCCAAATTTTTCTAGGTGGGCTAATAGATCAGCCTTAAATTTCATGTTCTCTCCTGATTCCATGTATAACTAACCATATATGACTGCATGGGAACATTCACGGATTCACTATATAGCCCATGCTACATAGACATTTCGTTCTGAGTAGCTAAATCTAAAACAACAACAACGGCTGGGAACCCAGCAAAACTCTACTGTCTTAAATCTGCTGGAGATAAGAAACAGCCAGTGCTGAATCTCGACAACCACAGGATGGACTGGATTGTGGACTCCAGAGCAATGGGGACACGGCTAGAGTCAACCACAAAGGAAGAATTACGGCGAGAAATCAGTTGACGAAATTAGTTTAATTCATTTATTATGTGGCCCAACCACTTGGCCTGGACGGTAGAGCAACGGTAGAGCGACGGTCATGGTTCCTGCAGGTCGGTGTTCAATTCCCGACCGTCCAAGCGGTTGGCCATCATTCCTTCCCCCGTCTCATCCCAAATCTTTACTCTGATCCCTTCCCAGGGCTGTATAGTCGTAATGGCTTGGTGCTTTCTCCTGATAGTTCCGTTTCCCTTCATTTATTACGCACCCCATACCCATCTTGTGGGCGGTAGAGGAAAGGGTTACAGAGGCACATAATGGGCTCAGGGACTGAACCCCACAATTCATTTAGCTAAGCAAGTTACAATCTTGATGAGCTAGAAACATAATTCAATATGCGTCGTCACATCATCAATGGGTTCAAGATCGACCACAAGTACAAGTACAGTCTCCGTGGTGTAGTGGTAAGACACTCGCCTGGCGTTCCGCGAGCGCTATATGTCATGGGTTCGTATCCTGGCCGGGGAGGATTTACTGGGCGCAATTCCTTAACTGTAGCCTCTGTTTAACGCAACAGTAAAATGTGTACTTGGATGAAAAAACGATTCTTCGCGGCAGGGGATCGTATTCCAGGGACCTGCCCGAAACGCTACGCGTACTAGTGGCTGTACAAGAATGTAACAACTCTTGTATATATCTCAAAAAAAAAAAAAAAAAAAAAAAATAGTTTCTAAATTAAGCAACTGACATATGTGTCACAATTGATATGTTTGTCCTCCACACCGCCCTGCAATCGAGAAGCGATTAATCATCTGTATAATTTCCACAGTGATTCAATTATTTCAGACGCTTCGGAGTTACCACACCTCTTCAGCCTCAAGAATGTAGCACTCGGCGTGTACAGTTCCAACCGACCCCAAGGTGCTAGTACAGCTTTGACACAGCGCAGACAGCAGACTATGACCGCATCGAGCTACCACGCTCACGATCTCATCGAGTTTGGACACTCGCGATCTCATCGAGTTTGTTCACTCACGATCTCATCGAGTTTAGACACTCGCGATCTCATCGAGTTTGGACACTCGCGATCTCATCGAGTTTGGACACTCGCGATCTCATCGAGTTTAGACACTCGCGATCTCATCGAGTTTAGACACTCGCGATCTCATCGAGTTTGGACACTCGCGATCTCATCGAGTTTGGACACTCACGATCTCATCGAGTTTGGACACTCGCGATCTCATCGAGTTTGGACACTCGCGATCTCATCGAGTTTAGACATTCATGATATCATCGAGTTTAGACACTCACGATCTTATTGGGTTTAGACATTCACCATTCCGCATCGAGCCGCCACGCTCTCCCACATAGAGCTCTGCGACTCCGGCCTCACTCAGCTCTCTGCTCTGCTACAAGCTCCGATTCAACGTCTTTGACACTGCTGTATCCAAGACTACTAAATAAATATGAAAGCACTAAACACTTTGTATCTAATTTACTCAACAACGTAATGTAATCGTACGTTACACCATCATACAGTTGCATCTTGCGAACAGCTCCTCACTGCCTGGGTGGGCGCCTATTTAGTATCCTTGTTTTCTCTGTCGAGATGACTAAACCTAGGTCCTGACGTGAGTCTGTAGCGAGTAAACCTTATACTCGCTTCAATCTCTCATTAGCTTAATGGCATAATTAATTAGCACTAATTACAGAAGCTATAATCCTTTCCCTAACTTAACTTAGTCCATGTAGCAGGACCAAACAAAGACTGGAACTTATTAGAACTGGAAGGAAGGATGAGGGTGCGGAGGGGGACGGCACCGAGCACCCCTAGTAAGAGAGGGGGGTAAAAGGTGCAGTTGTTACAATGAGAGATGGAGCCACTCCAGGTGATGAGGTCACCACTAGGGGCTTGGGATGAGGTGGTCACCACTGGGGGGCTTGGGATGAGGTGGTCACCACTGGGGGGCTTGGGATGAGGAGGTCACCACTGGGGGGCTTGGGATGAGGTGGTCACCACTGGTGGGCTTGGGATGAGGTGGTCACCACTGGGGGGCTTGGGATGAGGTGGTCAACACTGGGGGGCTTGGGATGAGGTGGTCACCACTGGGGGGCTTGGGATGAGGTGGTCAACACTGGGGGCTTGGGATGAGGTGGTCACCACTGGGGGGCTTGGGATGAGGTGGTCACCACTGGGGGGCTTGGGATGAGGTGGTCACCACTGGGGGGCTTGGGATGAGGTGGTCACCACTGGGGGGCTTGGGATGAGGTGGTCACCACTGGGGGGCTTGGGATGAGGTGGTCACCACTGGGGGGCTTGGGATGAGGTGGTCACCACTGGGGGGCTTGGGATGAGGTGGTCACCACTGGGGGGCTTGGGATGAGGTGGTCACCACTGGGGGGCTTGGGATGAGGTGGTCACCACTGGGGGGCTTGGGATGAGGTGGTCACCACTGGGGGGCTTGGGATGAGGTGGTCACCACTGGGGGGCTTGGGATGAGGTGGACACCACTGGGGGGCTTGGGATGAGGTGGTCACCACTGGGGGGCTTGGGATGAGGTGGTCACCACTGGGGGGCTTGGGATGAGGTGGTCACCACTGGGGGGCTTGGGATGAGGTGGTCACCACTGGGGGGCTTGGGATGAGGTGGTCACCACTGGGGGGCTTGGGATGAGGTGGTCACCACTGGGGGGCTTGGGATGAGGTGGTCACCACTGGGGGGCTTGGGATGAGGTGGTCACCACTGGGGGGCTTGGGATGAGGAGGTCACCACTGGGGGGCTTGGGATGAGGTGGTCACCACTGGGGGGCTTGGGATGAGGTGGTCACCACTGGGGGGCTTGGGATGAGGTGGTCATCACTGGGGGGCTTGGGATGAGGTGGTCACCACTGGGGGGCTTGGGATGAGGAGGTCACCACTGGGGGGCTTGGGATGAGGTGGTCACCACTGGGGGGCTTGGGATGAGGTGGTCACCACTGGGGGCATGGGGCTCAACCCTGCCACAGAGGTGGGAGGGGTAGTCTGGAAAGTCAGAGAAGCTGCTTGGTCAGGGGCCCAATGTAGCGGGGGCTACAGAGCCAGACCTTCCATGACAGTCCGACTTGGGGACCTGGTCGCCAACCCCACGAGTCTGAGAAGTTGAAAAGAGGGTCAGATATCAGCATATAAACAAACAGGTAACAATTTTCATCCATGAATAAGTCCCCCATACCCACCATGGAGCCACAATTAGAGGATAGGACACCCAACAAAACGGCCCCCCCCCCACCAGGGTGCATCGTGAGTATACCCTGCAATCGCCGCCTTAAAAACCTTCAGTCTGTCAAGATCGGGCTCAGCAACGAAGGTGAGCACTGACAATAAAAGCGTTCCCTCGCTCGCAAAGTCAGGTACCACAGTTCTACGGCTGAGAGAATGTGCCTCCGCAAACACCTGGACACCATAACAGAAGAAAACATTTGAAAGAATAATCAAGAATGGCAAAAAGGTGGCAGGAAATAACAAGGTGCAAGAAGAGGAGGGGGGGGGGGGGTTGGAAAAATGAAACACAAGCAAGAGGGAAAGGCATCCAGCAAAGGCTTCAAAAGTACAGAGGACACTGTCCTATGGAGCATCACACTCCGACAGCTGCCCACTAAGACCTCACGATGGTAATGGGCTGGAAAGAAAGGGGGTCGAGGCCACTAGTATTAGTGGCCCTTAGGTATAAAATGGGTTAGCCTTAATATAATCCACAAACAACATACATTTTCCATTTTTATTTTTTTTCTATTTTAGACACAAGTTTGTAATCTGTTTTTTCACCAATTCATTTATTTAAAGTTAATTCCACGTTCTTTCAGTTTTGGGCCAGTTTTTCCTGTAGTATACTTTACTGAATCCTTTAGAAAGGTTCATGTACAGTATAATACATCATCTAGAAACCCTTTCTTTGTGTAGATAGTTACAGTTTCCAGAAGCACAAGCAGATTTCTTTTAAACAAAACCTTGTTTTGATGCCGTCACATAATTGTACACTTCATGATGGTATTCAACACACAGTTCAAAACATAGTATAATAGTTAGTATTCATGTATTCCTGGCTCTGCATACCTGTAATATGTCCAATGATTCAGGCCAATTTAGCAATACTGTATAAACTTTATCTATGGGTTAGATCAAAGGTTGTCACTGGCTCAATATTTATTATTCACATAATACATTTACATATTCACTTTCCATGTCATTGAAAAAACAACCTTGTATCAAATTTCTGCAGTTGTGGAAAAACCTAATCATGCTACATTCACTAAGAAAACACATGAATAACTATTTTGGTTCCCTTGTGTTGCCATTGGCTAAAATTTTATTAAAACAATTATGATTCGATGAAGTGTGGAGCAAATGAACTACGTAGCTTTTAAATCTACGAAGATTTTTGCTTTGAAGATTCTCTTATTAAAAAATAGTGCCTGGGACAGTTCATATGAAATATAGGTGAATGTTTTGACAAAAATAGAACATCAAATGATCCCCACTATTGTATCCCAGATTTGTAATTTTTGTATTTATCAATGTTAGTACAGTAGAACCCCTATTATTCAGAATCTCAGGTCAGCTGGAAATACACACATGATTCTCCACTCTAACTGGAGCATGTCTGATTAATGGGGGTTAATCCCCATTAGCTGTCGAGTCTCTGCTTAACTGCATGGCAATGTTCATTATTTGCCAAATAAAACAAAAATGTCCTTGGTTTTCTATTAAAACACCATTACAGGTATTTTTTTCACACGTAAATACAAAAAAAAAATTGATTAGAAATTAGATTATCCACATTTTCATTGTCCTGGACATCTGGTGGAACTAATTGGTCCAGATAATTGTGGTTACACAGTACAGTACTGTGAATCTGTGACCTGGAAGTACTGTAAGTGGTAAAAGTTACATATTGAACAAACTTTTGTTTTGGCTCCTATTTCCAGTACAGTACATGACCGTAAGCCTAAACTGTAAGAGAGCAATTTAAAATAACTGTTCAAACAATTATAACTCCAAACAAATGCCTGTAAGATATATTAGAACTTGCATGCAAAAACGTTTATGCACTTTTCTGTAGTAACTTTTGCAGAGCTAGTTAAACCATGTAAATATAATTGGGTGACTGCCAAAGAAGTCATTTGTTTAACAAACTATCATAATATTTGTACACCCTTTACACACAAAATGGAGAAATCATATACAATATATCTGTACAGCATTTTTTTTCTGATCTTGTCCATTGTGATCTTAAAAGAAGTAACTCCAACAAGGTAAGTTTTGTCCACTACTAGTTATCTTGAGGTTATCTTGAGATGATTTTGAGGCTTTAGTGTCCCCGCGGCCCGGTCCTCGACCAGGCCTCCACCCCCAGGAAGCAGCCCGTGACAGCTGACTAACACCCAGGTACCTATTTTACTGCTAGGTAACAGGGGCATAGGGTGAAAGAAACTCTGCCCATTGTTTCTCGCCGGCGCCTGGGATCGAACCCAGGACCACAGGATCACAAATCCAGCGTGCTGTCCGCTCGGCCGACCGGCTCCCTTCCTAGTATATTTCTTGCATTCTTTACTAATTTGAGATAGAGATAATAGTGTATATATACACACACACACATATATACATACAATTAGTAAACATCCATCAGTCTCAGGAGACTATGGAGTCGCACTCTGGTTGTCAGTCTGGAGTGGCCTCTCCAAGGTGCAAAACCAGGGTAGGTTGATATGGGGAAGAAGCTGTTACCCATGCAGCAGGTCCCCCCTTTCCACAGCGCCGAAAGTCTCCAATGGAGAGGCAAATGCCAATACGATTGGTTCCAGCGTCATCACAGGAACTGTCAGAACGAAGTTGAAAGCAACAACACACTGCCCTACGGGCCCCAGTTCCGATGGTTACCTCGAAGTTGGCAAAAGAAGGTATAGGGGACTCCAAACCTGGAGATCACCATAGCCAGGGCCAGAGAAGAACCACTCCAGCAAGAGCAAGAACGACCTTAGCTTCCTGAAGGAGAGTTTGGGCTGCACGATCCCTAGGAGGTGGACGTCCGAGTCCCACACCTACGGGTTCCAGACAGAGAACAGCACAGCCCCCTTTCACCTAAGGCCAGCTTATTTCAAGACCCAGAGAAGTAATAACTAATTATATTATTATTATATGTACATACATACATATACACACACACACACATTGTGTGATATTGAATTCCATGATCAGGCAACAAAAATCAGGCAAGAAAGAGTGAGGTGGGCAGACTGCATATTTTTGGATTGCCAGAAAGCCTTTGACACAGTACCACACAAGAGACTAGTGCACAAGCTAGAGATGCAGGCAGGAGTGAAAGGGAAGGTACTCCATTGGATAAGGGAGTACCTAAGCAACAAAAGACAGCGAGTCACTTTGAGCGGTGAGGTCTCCACTCACCGCTCATCACCAATGATGTGGCATCACTAGTGGAGTTACACAGGGATCAGCCCTTGGATCTATACTGTTTCTGATATATATAAATGATCTCCCAGAGGGAATAAGAATTGTGCCTCTCAATTTTTGCTAATGATGTAAAAATTATGAGGATAAGGACAAAGGAAGATAGTATGAGGTTGCAAGATGACCTAGACAAACTGAAGGAATGGACCAAAATAGCTACTAAAGTTCAACCCAAGTAAATGTAAGGTAATGAAACTAGGCGGAGGAAACAGGAGACCAGACACAGGATAATGAATGGGAGATGAAGTCCTTCATGACACGGAGAGAGAGAGAGAAAGATCTAGGCGTTGATATCATGCCAAACCCGTCTCCTGAAGGCAACATCAAAATAATAACATCAGTGGCGTATGCAAGGCTGGCTAACATCAGAACTGTTTTCAGAAACTTGTGTAAAGAAGTCTTCAGAACCTTGTATACCACATATGTAAGACCAATTCTGGATTATGTGGCCCCAACATGGAGCCCGTACCTTGTCAAACACAAGATGAAGCTAGAAAAAGTTCAGAGGTATGCCACTAGGTTAGCCCCAAAACTAAAAGGCGTGAGTTATGAGGAAAGACTGTGTGAAATGCACCTCACGACATTGGAAGACAGGAGAGCTCGGTGAGACATGATCACTACCTACAAAATTCTTAAGAGGAATTGACAGGGGTAGATAAACTGTTTAACACAGGTGATACATGAATAAGGGGACACAGGTGGAAACAGTAACCAACATGAGCCACAGGGATGTTTGAAAGAACTTTTTCAGTGTCAGAGTAGTTAACAGATGGGAGGCTTTAGGAAGTGATGTGGTGGAGGCAGACTCCATACACAATTTCAAGTGTAGATATGATAGAGCACAATAGGCTCAGGAACCTGTACACCAGTTGATTGACAGTTGAGAAGCAGGCTGAAAGAGCAGAACTCAACCTCCGCAAGCACAACTAGGTGAATACACACACACGCACGCATACGCACCATAAATCACAGGCACACAGCTCAGTATGTAACTAATCGTAGGTAACTTCACGCACAAACCCAATCATGTCCTCCTCTCTCCTGTTTTTACTCCTTCCTCCATTTCAAATTATGACTGGGTAACTATTCAACAAACTTATTATTCCGTAAAGTTGTACATGAATTATAGTAGCAACTGGGACATGATGAAAATGGTTGTTGATCCATAGACTGCAGTGTTTTGCACCAAATTACAATGATATTACAATTTTTTATTAAATATTTTCATATTGTACCCTTCTAATTAAGTTTAGAATCAAATCTAAATATAAAATTGCAAAATTACTTGCAACATGGGTTTAAACATAATATAAAAATCTAATAACACAGTATTATTATAAAATATATACAGGTATTTCAATTGTTGCTTTAGATATTTAGTTTGAAGCATTAAAGAATGACATCTATTTGTCATTTTTTTATAAAAAATTAATTCTTAGGAAAGAGAACTCATGTGTAGTACCGCAGATTGTGTTCATATTGAATACAGTTAAATTTGGTAGGGATTAACAACTGATTTAAGGTATTACTTAGATCATTTGATAGCAAGCCTGTATATATAATATTAAATTATAGGCCTAATTGTAGCTGATATGGGTAGGTACAGTAAGTGGTTCACAGACATGAGAATAACAGAAAATGTACAATAAAAAATCTAATGTATGTTGTAATAGATATGTGAAGTGAGGAAACAAAATCAAATTGGCATGGAGAATAGAATTCCTTCAAAATTTAATAGTAAATATTGCACAATATTTGATTAGTGCATTATGAAAATTTTAGGCCCTTGTATTTGCACCGTCTTTATACAGATTGAGCTATGAATGAGGAATATCAGCAATACATCACTTCTTGTGGGGGTCTATTACAAGCCTCTAGAGTGTGTCTAGATGTGTGTTATATTTTAGTTTAAGATCTTCAAGATGTACAGTGACTTTTACCAATTTAAGGTTAAATTAATGCAGCTTATATATTAATTCCCATGTGCAAGACCTCCTCATCTTCCTACAAGAAAATAGAAAGAAAATATAATTTGAAGATTCCAAAGTTTAAAATGAAAAGTACTGTGCTATAGTTGATGCCCAAGCCACACATCTGGAAATGAAGAACTAATGACATTTCAGTCCTTCCTGGACTGAAATGAACTTTAGTAACTATTTTGGTCCATTCCCTATGTTTGTCTAGGTCATCTTGTCCATTCCCTATGTTTGTCTAGGTCATCTTGTAACCTCATACTATCTTCCTCTGTCTTTATCCTCAGAATTTTTGCATCATCAGCAAAAATTGAGAGGCACAAGTCTTATTCCCTCTGGGAGATCATTTATATGGAAATCTGGAAATGAAGAACTAATGACCTTTCAGTCCTTCCTGGTCCATTATCAACTTGTGTAATTACTTCGGCAGTTCTTCATTTTTCAGATGAGTGTGTGTTAGGCGTCAACTCTTCAGCCATGTTATTGGGACTCATTGTCTGCATACTGTACTATACAATAAAGTTCTTATGCTGCAAGGAAGATTTGAAATCTACTCAACACTCAATTACTTTTAACACAACAAACCAATATTAGTAGGTAGGTCAAATTGCTTTCTTAGTTAAAGTGGTAACTGCACTAATTGAGTGATAGGTAGCTAAACCAGCATTTGGATTTATCATTATTTGGAAAAGGCTTCAAATTTTATTTTAGATGTTTATTAGACAAAGATTATTTATGAAAAATAATTTTAGAGTATTTATGTATAATAAATTTATGTATAATAATGTATAAAGCATTAAGAAAATTGAAATTTTGTTGACAATTGTACACAAGGCCATAGGTTTGAGGGGTTTCGAGACTAAACAAACCATAAAAGGAATACAAAATAAACTTGACAATTCAGGGTTTATCTTTTATAAATTAATGACTTTATACTGAAACAATGACTCAATTTGTGCTAACTAAATGCAACTCAAATTATAATGAGCATAATGCCCAAATGCTATCACACTGTCAAGCCCTCTATCATGTACAGCTTGCGGAAGGTCATGTGGATCCTCTCTCCAGGAACATTGGGCTCCTTTGGAAACTGTAAATAAATAATACTTATTAATTCTGTTCTGAAATGTCTGCTGACTATATATAACACAAAGTGGTGTAAAATGTAAATGGTAACTATATGAAGCATCACGCTTAAAAGTTAATTCAAGGATACTTTCTGGGCAGACGTTTGTTTGTTTTCCCAAGGCAATCTGCTGCCTCCTTGACATAAGAACATATAAAACTGCAGCTTTATTGTCCCAGCAAGGGTGTTTGTATTCAGTATATATCCAACTACAATCATTCATACATTTGTCTAACTTATGTTCGATACAATCCATCTATCCCAATTCTTAAACCAATATTTACAGAGGTCTTTTCAGAATCTAAACTTACCCAGTTTATATCCATTCTTTTGCTTACAATTTTCATGTTGATACATTTAGTACCCTATTAATTAATATTCCCCCCCTCCATATACCCCCTTCATCCATTCGTATACAGGCAATCTACATCTTATCAACGGGATACGTTGAGAAAAGCCATTCATAAGTTGACTGTATAACTCTGAACCAGATTTTCCATATGCGCAATGCCTATGGAGGATTTACTCCTTGACCACTAAAGTTCAACATATAAAACACAAATTTTTGGGCCAAATAATATAAGAACACTGCTTTTTATTTACCGTGAATGATGGAATTGTCTTGTCTGATTTTATGCTTTTTGAAGGGCAAAGAAGTATAATTACTACTGGAGCAGACAGTAAGAGGTGGAGATGCATCTTGAGTTATCTTGAGATGATTTCGGGGCTTTAGTGTCCCCTCGGCCCGGTCCTCGACCAGGCCTCCACCCCCAGGAAGCAGCCCGTGACAGCTGACTAACTCCCAGGTACCTATTTACTGCTAGGTAACAGAGGCATTCAGGGTGAAAGAAACTTTGCCCATTTGTTTCTGCCTCGTGCGGGAATCGAACCCGCGCCACAGAATTATGAGTCCTGCGCGCTATCCACCAGGCTACGAGGTCCCCGAGGAGTGAAGGAGTGCATGGGCACTCCTTCACCACCAACACACTATCTTTTTATCACCCATTATTCAGCTGATGAACAATTTTCGGTTGATGAGCAACCAAAATTGTGCATTAATATTCAATTTCTCAACATATTTGTTAAAAAAGCTAAACTTAGATAATCCCAAATATGTTCAGCAACAATTGAAGTTGGAGGAGAGACGTAACAAAGCAGAGAGGAGGTTGTGCTACAACCATCACAGTAAAACAAACACACTTCACCTGATGCTGCCAGTCTTCCTGAGTGGCTCCTTCCATCAGGAGCAGAGACCCGGGGTAAAGAGGAAATCGTAAAAAGCCTCGTCCATCTTTTCTACGCATTTCAAACAGTCTAGATGTGCCTGAAAAAATGGAAAGATGAATTTAATGCAGTCCAGTAATAAGGCTGTGAAAAGTTTTTTTCATCCATCAATTTGATATCTATTTAGTGAAATGTTAAAATGCAAGGTATAATGGCATTGAAACAGTTCTGTTATGCAAAAAGAAATTTATGAATACATTCATCAACTTCATTTTCAGAAAAGCAAAAATGTCACAGTAGATACAGTGAGTGTTACCAAGTGATACAGAAGCAATGGAGGGGCTATCACGAAGCGCTGGGTGGTTTTCCTCCATCCACGCTACGTGGTCATATCCATTACGATGGAGATTAAGGATGCAGCTGTTGTACTGATTACCGGTGTATCGAATTAGTCTAGGAAGAAAAGAAAATACATAAACAAATTAAAAATAAGGCAGAAAGGATGGAACTGCTGCAGTCAATAGTTTGAACACGACAATTTACTAGTGGAAATATAAAGGGAATGAGCAGCAGCACGAGAGCTAAAGGCTCTACTGCTGAAATGCGTTAGAACAAACCTTATTAAAGGAAAAATGTAATAAAAGCTTCCACACTAGCAATGGTAATCTCAGTAACTTGTTCAGCACATTTGGAAATACTGCACAAAGAATAACAAAGTTCCACAAAGAGGGTGGAACTGATAAAGATATAAAAATAAGTTATTATCATAAAAAGGACACTGACAGTAAAATTGTATAGTGAGAAAATATTGAAACTGCACAATGGGATAAAACCCATATTCCTGAACTATGACAGGCTTAATAGTGGTGTGCCTGAGGTTTTCAGGATGTCAGGTTTGATCCCATTATATGATTTCAGTATTTTCTTATAAATAACATCACTTTCTTGTGAACTTATTATGTATAGTATATGGTGATCCAGCACTAGAAAGTTAATGATCAATGGTACACAGTGTGATGACCAAACTATAACTTAGAACATGGAGCAGCGACGAAGTTTCGGTCCGTCCTGGACCATTATCAAGTCGTGTCGGTACAGTACTGTACACAGTACTCGGTACACAGAGTACTTTATGTGCATGGTCAGAGACTGGGCTGCAGGGACGTTGATCCCCCTAATCAACTCGAGGAATGCATTGATCTGGAATGCACATAGGCTGATGGATTCCTTTCAGGAAATCAAGCAGAGAAGTAGAAAGCTGCTTTTGCCTAATAACTAGTGGAAGAAGACTTAAACCAATCCCAACGATGAAATTGAAGCGACCCAAAAAGTTGACAATGAAAAAATGACAGAATATTTTCCAGTTGAGAAGTAAGATAATCATAGAAGTCAAAGTACTTTGGGGAACTAGAGAAATGGCAGACATAGCAGACAAATTTCGACACAACCCTTGAGTCAAAAAATATCAAGCTTGGCAGTTAATAATTTTAAGGGAAAAGTGACAGTAGACACAAATATAAGGATTGTTAACGACAAACAGGACTGTTAGTAATGACAAAAGGTACAGACACAAGTGACAGGAATGTTAGTACAGTAATGACAAAAGGTACAGACACAAGTGACAGGAATGTTAGTACAGTAATAACAAAAGGTACAGACACAAGTGACAGGAATGTTAGTACAGTAATAACAAAAGGTACAGACACAAGTGACAGGAATGTTAGTACAGTAATAACAAAAGGTACAGACACAAGTGACAGGAATGTTAGTACAATAATAACAAAAGGTACAGACACAAGTGACAGGAATGTTAGTACAGTAATAACAAAAGGTACAGACACAAGTGACAGGAATGTTAGTACAGTAATAACAAAAGGTACAGACACAAGTGACAGGAATGTTAGTACAATAATAACAAAAGGTACAGATATAAGCATCAGTAAAAACAATATTAGTCCTGAGTAGGAGCAAGGAGATAAGGGCAATGATGTTTAACATCGGAGAGGTTAGAAGAAAATCCACCAATACCATATAAAGTAAGCCAATGTGATCAAAACTGACTGTAGAATGATGAAGAAAACAAGTAAGAGCCAATATGGTACTACTGCTGTTAATGTCCACTATCCACGAGATTACTTAACATGTACTCACCTACTTGTGCTTCCGGGGGTTGAGCTCTGACTCTTTGGTCCCGTCTCTCAACCGTCAATCAACTGGTGAACACATTCCTGAGCCTACTGAGTTCTATCAAATTTACATTTGAAACTGTGTATGGAGTCAGCCTCCACCACATCACTGCCTAATGCATTCCATCTGTTAACTACTATGATACTGAAAAAATTCTGTCTAGTGTCTCTGTGGCTCATTTGGGTACTCAGTCTCCACCTGTGTGGGTGTGCCTGAGAGTTCAGGCATGCAGGTTCGACCTCATCATATGGAATTGTTCATGTGATGAATATGAGGGATAATTGCAGCAGTATGAGTTTATGTGAAAGTAGAAATACACTCCAAGTATGCCAAGTAGGTGAGACAGCATGGTAAATCTGTCACGCTGAATTACAAAAGTAACCCTTGGTATATGTGGAGAGATGTCTGGTGCCTCGGTGCAATGTGAATAGCACAGAGAGAACATAACTGTAAGGTAAGTGCAGAGGAAAGGGCAGAAATGGCTAGTGTCATGGGAAAGTAATGAGTACCCTAGATTGAAGCATGAGGAATGTGAAGAAGGCTTTTTAAATCCACGCTGAAAAAAGGCAGAGATAGTTTTCAATGGTAATAAGAAATCAGAAAACAATAATAATAATGGAAAAAATGTATATAAGGTACAGTACAGTATACAGTGGTACCTCGCATAACGAATTTAATCCGTTCCATGTTCGTCATGTGAAACGGACGTCATACAAAACGAGTGTCCCCCATGTAACCAGTGTGATGCACTGTGTTTATTGTGAAATTTCCCCAGAGTGCATGACATCAAATGTTCCCCAAAATATAATTTTTCTTTGTAAAATGATAAATTACTGTCCCTGAACATGTCTATGTAAAAATAATTACCAAATTCCACTTACTTTGGCTGTGAGGGCGTGGACAAGGTGCACTGTGACGTCATCAGGGCCTGGTCGCCCGTGTGTGAAGCTCCCAGACACGGTCGCGCAGGCCATTCAAGCACCGCATGTTGCCACAAATATATTTTCAAATATTTTTTCTATGCATTTCCAATGCGGTTTTATTTGTTTCATTTATCGTATATGATGCATATTTGTGACCTTTACAATATGTATACAGTAGAATGTTCATAATTTTCCATGAAACTGTGATACATGTGTCAGTAATGTGTCCACAATAAATGTTTATTGTCACAATATTACGTGGTAAAAATTCACTAATATTACAATATGTACAGTTTCACATACTATTTACACAGTAACACACTGTATTACACACTCAGTACTTTGGAGGTGCATAATAGTCAACGAAGTAGTCCATGGTACACAGCACGACTTTGCTCTCCTTGCACCAGCTACAGATAGATTTTTGCTTCCTGTTTCATCGTTATGTGTGCTTGCAAATAACGCACTTGCGTGCACCCTTGGCTTTAGTACTTGTAGGTGGTATGTAGCCAAGCTTGTAAAGCATAAAGTAGTATTGAAACGATTATAGGAAAAGCTCAATTTGTAAGGTAGTCTTGAAAAGATCGTTTTGTAAGGTCCCACACAGGAAGAGATTCAGCTAGCCTCAAAGAGTGTCCATCAGTCAGGAAGAGATTCAGCTAGCCTCAAAGAGTGTCCATCAGTCAGGAAAAGATTCAGGTATTCTTGAAAATATCAATGAACACCACCACCATGGAAGCCGCTAACACTGTTAATCTATGCTACTTGTATCAGGTGCATCATCACTGAACGCAGAAAACGATTCATCTATGTATCATCTATATACATTAGAGATGGCAAGGGTGGGGCTCAGAGCTACACCTGGATACGCTTGCTGTATCATCCTCATAGGTGCTGTATCACTGGCATCCGACCGTTGTGTTAAGCCCTTATTGCGCCTAGCTTCACCAATGTTATGACCCTTATGTTCTTCAAACAAATGGGTCTGAATTTCACCGACTGAGCACAGTCTTTCAACACCGTGTGGGACAGGTGTTTGAGAGCCAGAGGCGCGTGTGCCACAAATGGTTGCTCACGCAGTACTAACCCAGCCAGCAGCCCTTGTCTTTCATATTCGTTATGGCAAAAGGTTCGTTCAGTTTTTGTTGGGTAGGCTGCTCCATTATGACAATCTTTCTTTGTTTCAAATGTGTTCCATTTGTTTTGTATTTGTCACTTACGTCTCAATAATGGAGCAGCCTACCCGACAAACACTGAACGAACCTTTATGACATTTGTCCATTTTTCAAATTGTTTCAACAGTTCTTTTATTTTTCGTTTTTTTTTTTTTTTTTTTTTTAAGAAACATGGAGCAGCCGACCTGTAGACCACCGAACGAACCTTTTTGACATTTGTACTGGTTTTCAAAATTCTTCATTTTTTTTATTATTTACGTTTTTTGTATGTAAGAAACATGGAGCAGCCTACCTGCCGACCACCGAACGAACCTTTTGCTATAAGGCAAATGAAAAATAAATATTGAACACATTTGAAGAAAGGAAAATGTCATAATGGTTTATTCAGTGTATGTAAGGTAGGCTTCTCCATTATTGAGACGCAAATGACAAATACAAAACAAATGGAACACATTTGAAACAAAGAAAGATTGTTATAATGGAGCAGCCTACCTGCCGAACACCGAACGAACCTTTTTGACATTTGTTGTATATCAGACATTTCATTTCTTTTTTCCTACAAAAACGTCAATGCTTTGCAACATCTCAGTAGTCACCCTTTTATATCCCAGCATCATTAGCATCTTTAAACAAGAACAACATAATTTATGTGCATCGTCGGAGGCGTCTAAGAATGTGCAAGAAGCAGCGCGACCCCACCATGTGGTGTTGACGTTACTCAAACCAGCGTTCGTCATAAGGGACGATTTGACGCCGATCGGGCCGTTCGTTACCCAAAATATTCGTCTTTTGGGGCAATCGTTATGCGAGGTACCACTGTATATATATATATATATATGAAGATATTACCTATGTAGAAGATCGACAATTTCAGGCAGCCAGTTGGTATTCTTCTCTAAAACAACGCCAGAGTAAGAGTAGTCACAGGGGCCAATCCAAGACAATAAGTGAGGGAGGTTCTGCCACTGTCCATCAGTAACTGCTCGTCGCTGGTGCCACTTGAGACCCTTTCTCAGAATGCGGAAAACTGTCTGTGGATACATACAATTATCGGAATACCATACCTGCTGGCATATGAAACACATCTAATTTACAAGCATATTCAATATGTTTCATCAAATATTTATTTATTTAAGTGATTTTCAAGTGGTTTTGTAGATAAAATCATATAACTGTGTTTATGTAAATGTAATGTATATATATTCATTGGTGGTCGTCCAAAAACCATGTCTTATCTGCAGGAAATATGGAAAATACACATTAACCCCCCAAGCTGCTAAGGGCTATTTGGCCTTTGAAACCCACAGGCACATAAAAAAAATAAAAAATTTTTCTTATAAATCTGTTAACACTTTCGCTCGGGGATGACGCAGCATTGCGTCATCCGTTTACTGGCGGTAATGCCGGGGATGACGCAGCATTGCGTCATCCACTTTAAAAATTCGCCAAAAATCAGGTTTTTATCCGATTTTTTTGGGACTGGTTTTAAAATGTGCGCCGATGTCTTCCCATTTTCTTTGTTGAGCCTCGTGGCCCTCAGGCGGCTTGGCACATGCCGTGGGCCCATTGTCTTTGCTCCACTGTTGTGACGAATGTCGCCTCCCCTCGCATCTCAAACGTGTGAACATTTCGGCTATTTCCCGTGGCTATATTTCTTACTGCGGCTTTAGAAACTATCTACGCTTACTCCACGATGGATAGTAATCATGAACAAGGCCCTTCCAGGAAGAAAATTGCGAAAGAAAGGCTTGAAAAGGGTGGGAATTGGGAGTGTAGCAGGAAGGCCTCTGAGCACTCACTCACGGCTAACGCGTGGCCCGTCTTCAACTCGTCGGCGGTTGGAGCGTGACCAGGTTTTTTTTTTTATATGCTAATGTTCCTCTAGAGAATTTTATTACGAACCCATTGAGACCAAATTGAAAGACCTAGGACAAAAATTGAGGTGACCAGAGTGAAAATAGTGAAAACATTTTATCCCGTTTGCGCGCTCCCGGGTAACTCGTTCGCACTTTCTCTGTTTGCTGCGGGTAATTAGCTGGGCTTTTGGAGTTTATATGCATTTAGTGTTGTAGAGAATTTTATTGCGAACACAATGATACCAAATTTAATCTCGTAGAAGGAGAATTGAGGTGACAAAGTTGAAGAGAGTATACACTTTTCGAAATTAACGTGCGCTTCCGTGACACGCTGGGGCCCATATCGCCCTGTCGAGGGGTGGCGCGTGGGGTGAGCGAAAGTGTTAATTTGTGTTCCCTGATCACAGGAAAAATTAAAAAAATCGTAAGTGGCATATTTTAGCCGCAATAGGGTGGGGAAGTCTGGCAAAAAACCAGCGTTGAATGTAATGAAACGCCATTTTCTGGGTGAGTCCCGGAGGCTCCCCGGAGCTTACTAGGCTGATATGCTGATGTCAGACTTTGGCATCAGTCATGTGTATGGAGTTCTTATGGGCCTACCAGGGACCACAAGCCAGAACCTGGCCCACTCCAGAGGGGCAAGGGGAGCAATGGCCTATAGAAACCCCTCGTGTAATTGGAAGCATTCTATGTCTGCCATTGACCGGGTCAGGCACCCAGAAAGGTAAGCTTCCCAAAACAAACCCCTATTCTGGTGAAAATTGCTACCAAAAGCCCAACAAGAACTCCCCAAAAAGAAACAAGTAAATGAGCATGATGTCACAATGCCAGGGAGCCTCCGGGTCTCAACCAGAAAATGGTGTTTCATAAGATTCAACGCTGGTTTTCTGGGATGAGCCTTGTCAGCTCCCTGCAGCTACCTACCCAAAGATGAAAACAAGAGGGACCTAATCCGGGAGGCGGAAGACGCACACCCCTAACGCGATGCGGAGACAAAAAGTGCAACCGCCAACCCAAGGTCACACAGGCCCGACAGGCCCAGGAACATCAACGAAGGAACGCAGAGCCAACCAACGAACGATGTGGGCACGGGAACAGACATCAGACTGGCAGGACTGAACCACCCCACAGACGACCCGAGAGAACCACACCCTGGAACACGGAAGAGGGGAACTTGGACCAACCCAAGGTGCGACCCTGGTCACTGCGCAGTGCCGCAACCAAACACAAGACACGATGCACCCCCAGACAGACCAACCAAGCATCAAACAACCCAAGGACCCCTCCAGAAAGCAGTCGTGCCAATCTTCGCCAAAAAAGAAGGAGACAGCCGCAAGCGAACAAACCAATCAGGAAAACCAAAAGAGCCAAAACCTAGGCGTCGGAGGAGGGCATGAAGCACTCCAACCTGACCCCCAGAGGCCAACTCCAACAAGAAAAGAGCCTCGGAAAACAACTCAGAACTGAAGGGGCCACCACAAACCGAGGAGAAGAGAAAAGAGCATGTGATCAATCCAAGAACCAGGAAGATTCAAGCGGCGCAAGAACAGTATGGAGGTGAACCACGCCAGAGACGGCTTGCGAAGTGGTACCGAGGCAACCTCCAAAACCGAAACAACCCAGAGTGGCTCCGTCAGCGCCGCACGAGACAAGGCGACTGTATGTGGCAAGATGACGACCCCAAACCTCCACAAGAGAAGGACCAGACCACACCAAGAAAGCAGCAAACCGAGGAAGGGACAGAAAGAAAAAGGAAGGACTGCCAAAGAAAACCCCACACCGCCACCTAGACGAAGCACGCAGGTGGGACACCATCAACGAAGCCATCAGACCACCAGAAGATGGTGAGATACTGGAGGCAGAACCGAACTAGCCCCGCCATGGACCGATCGAGCGTAGGAAGAGGTGGAGCTGCAGGAAAACCTCGGGTGCGACCACCGAGCAAGCAGAGCCGGAACCCAAGCCGGCAAAGAATGAGAAGGAACGTCTGCCGAACAGAAAACTTACCAATACCAGCGAGCTCGCCAGGAGACCAGAGACACTATGGTCCCGATGCGAGACTCATGAGAAGTGACACTGCAAGATCCGGAAATGCCAACTGGCAGGGTAAGCCAGGAAACCAGGAACCCAAACTATTACATCCCATGACACTTAACACAACACAAATAAGCGCAAACTAACTTGTACAGGGCTTCTCGCAGATGTCAAGTCCTGATGAGGAACTGACATACAAAACAATCCAACTACCCCTCACATATTACCCCGCAGGCCAATCGACCTGAAGCGGATACAGGAGAACAAGCCATACGTACTAGAAAAACACTACAAGCACCAGCAGCTAGGGACACAAGTGTAGAAGGAAGATGAGGAACGAGGAAGACTGGCAGAAACGGGAACGAAACGGACAGGACCAACAACACAAAGGCTATGTCTATGTCAGGCGAATGACAGTTGAGAAGCGGGACCAAAGAGCCAGAGCTCAACCCCCGCAAGCGCAGCTATGTAAGGACAACTAGGTGAGCACAGAGAATCCAATGTATATGGAAGGGCTAAGCTAGGCACTGCAAGATGGGCAAGGAAAGAATGACCCAGATAAGACCATGAAAAATGGGGCCGTAACCCACCGTGTAACAAACAACTCAGACGAACAAGGAAGGCCCCAGGAAGAAGCACGCCAGGGCCAAACAAAGCACCACAACCAAACCCCAACACGGATTCCCAGTATCAAGCCACAGCAAAATGTCACCTCAGAACATCCTGACCCAGAGTAACATGTACCCCATAACATTTACCTCTACCATTTTACCTTGTAATATGGCGAAGGTGGGGCCCCTTGATCGACTCAAGCATGTGATGAACATGTATATGAGTGGGACCGGATGGGTATAAATAGGAACTGCCACGTATGGGCCAATAGGCCCTCTGCAGTCACCTTTGTCCGTATGTTCGTAAATGCGTAGCCACGCACCAGTGCCTGGCCGAAAGAGACGCCAGACCGCATAAACTTACCAGCAGAACGAAGGCATGAACGTGTCATGACACAACGTAGTCGAAAGGAGTCCAGGAGCACCGCCAGAGGAAGAAGGCCAGAGCCGCACCTGCAGGAGAAGAGTAGGGTAGAGGCGAAGGAGGCGTCCCACACCCATATGCAGGGAAAACCCAGCGTCCTCCCCATAGCGGCAATCCAGAACACCCCCAGCATATAAGCGGCATGGACTGGAGAGACGAGAGGTGCAAGAGAGGCGAAGCACCCAAGAGAACAAGGACGCGGAACACCAGTACTGTACTTGTGTACACCGTCCACAACAAAACAAACTCCTCGGTGCATGCGCAGGACGCATGAGGTCCGAACCGCTCAAAACCGCCCAGCAGGGAGGGCGCCAACAAGGAGTATTGCAAAATAATAGCAGTGCCTAGACAGAGCACAGAGAGAAGATATAATACAGTATCGAAAACCAAGAAGCACGGAAGAGGACCAACGAGTCCGTAAAGGACCGGAGGTAAGCCTCACCGGAAGAACGACAGACGTTCCAATAATGCGGGATGAATCGAAGACCTTCCCGAACCTCCGAGATCTCACAGAAGCAAACAATATCACTTAGGCTCAGAAAAGCACAGTCACACCCGAGACCAAAAGTCATGCAGAAACCCGGATAATAGGGGAACATGACCCCTCCTTGACGGAGAAGTCCTGCCTCAGAGAGAAGGGGGTAGAAACGGAGAAAAGTACCCACCGATAGGATGGAACTGAACGGACAAGGATCCGAACCCGGGGAGGGGCCAATGCCCAACAACACGTATGCAGAGGAGGTAAGGAAAACCCCCACTCCCTGTAAACACAAGCCCTGCACCGAGGGAAGAAAATCCCGGCGGAGTCTTACAGGGCCCGAGGACACCCCCCAAGTCAGCCAATCCCCAATCCCGGGAACCTCCACGGCAGGCCCCGGGGCCAAGCCGTCCCCTCAAAGCCCCAGCCTCACAAGAAAAGGCCGGGGCACCCGGAAAATTACTAAGGAAGGGAGCCCACTGGCAGACTCATACAACCTGGCTGGAGGAACAGTCTCGAATGCCCCCATCGCTACCGAGGAAAGGGAAATCCCTGAGACCGCCCGAGTCTCAAGACCATCGAATTCCCGCCCCAACCCTGAACCCACAGACGGAAAGGATCTGGATGCAGGGAGGAAAGGGGGGGGGGACTAGACTAAACCACAACAGGGAAAAGACAAGGAGGTGAGGAAGGAACAAAATTGAAGCAACCAACAACCCCAAGCCCGGTCACAACAACCAAAACGGAGCAGGGGAGCTGCCTGCCCGTTTGCTCCTCGGGGCTTCCGAGAGCAAACAAATAAACACGTTGCAACCACCTGAACCCAACATGCAACGCCTGTGCTGCCTGCACCCGCATAGTCAGCATAAGACCGGGTAACTGAGTCACAAATAAGCAACGAAACTCCAGGAATCCAGGTCGAAGGTGCCACCGACCCACAGGCAGCAGACAGAGGCAAAAACAATGAGTCACCCCTGAGACAAGGGGTGAGAGCAACCCTTAAACTCGCACAAAGTGAGGGGGGACTCAGGGGTCACATCCATTGGACCCATGCACCCCCATGGGGATTCCCAGGGCCCTGAGATGGAACTCATGGTCGGAGAAGCCCTTGCAGGGTACTGCTAATCGGCGCCCAAGTCTACCAAACAACCTTCTAAGAACTGAACCCCCCGGGACGTGAACTCTCATGGGGACCTAGCATGTAGTACCACCAGAAGAAAACCGTATTAGGTCAGATACCAAGGGGCAAGCAAGGCAGACCCCTCTACAAGGCACAAACAAAAAGAAAAACAAAACTCTGCAAGAGGACAACGTACCTAAAGGAACAGAGCCAGCCGCTATGAATGGTGAAAACAAGCTGCGCAGGACCCTGTGCCCCGTACCAGTGCAAACTGCCTCTTACCCGAAGGTAAACAAGGAAGACAAAGCACCCAAGCACTCAAAGGGCGGCCGAAAAAACGAGCAGTGAAACAGCCCAGCAGAGGCAGGACCCAAGGAATTTGTGGAAGGTAACCCCAAGCCCCAAGGGCAGTACTTACAGGGAACCTAGGGAAGGTAACCCTAGGCGCATGCAGCCCAAGTACTATAGAATAACTCCTGGCTCTCGCACCCCTGGAAGACAGCCACCACACTCAAAGCACAGTGCTGAAAAACACTGGAGCCACAACACACCTGCTTGATACCTGCTTGATGGGGTTCTGGGAGTTCTTCTACTTCCCAAACCCGGCCTGAGGCCAGACTTGACTTGTGAGAGACCTCTGCCTCTAGCATCAGCCTTAGAACTGAAGGGTGGATAGCCGGCGCGAGGGCCTGGGGCTCCCCCTTCCTCCTCCCGGGGAGGGGGGAGCTGCGCAGACAGCGGCGTGGCGATGTGTGACGTCATGCTCGTTTGCTTGTTCTTTTTGGGGAGTTCTATCCGCTTGTTCGACCTTTGGTAGCAATTTTCACCAGAATAGGGGTTTGTTTTGGGATGCTTACCTTTCTGGGTGCCTGACCCGGTCGATGGCAGACATAGAATGCTTCCAATCACACGGGGGTTTCTATAGGCCATTGCTTTCCATGCCTCTCTGAGGGGGCCAGGTTCTGGTTCATGGTCTCCGGTATGCCCACAGAACTCCATACACATGACTGATGCCAAAGTCTGATATTAGCATATCAGCCTGGATAAGCTCCGGGGAGCTGACGGGGCTCCCCCCAGAAACATAAGGAAATAAGCAAACGTCATTTACCGCTGCTGCGCCACTTGTCCGTGCAGCCCTCGCCCCCCTGGAGGGGGAGAGGTTAGCCCGGACCCCAGTGCCAGATACTCACACCTCAGCCTCAGTTTGGAGGCTGAGCACATTTGGAGAGCGTTGAGATGATCCCAATAATTTAGGTGCTTTATTGTGTCTATGTATACAGTATACTATCTCTGTATTCCCTCTATTTCAGCATTCTCTCTTGCTCTGAAGGCGAAAGTGAGTATCGAGCAGTACTCAAAGATGGCAAAGTACAAGTGATTTGAACAGTACAACAATTGGGATGGGATTCCTGGATTTGAAGGTTCTCGTAATCCATCCTATATTTTTTCTGACCGACGCAATCTTTGCTTGCTTGTGCTCCCTAGACGTTAGGTTGTTAGACATCATTATTTCCAGATCATTTACATGCTGCTTTCTTACTATGGGCACATTTGATTGTATTTTGTACCCTGTGTTATGTTTAAGGTTCTCATTTTTACCATACCTGAGTACCTGGAATTTATCATTGTTAAACATTGTGTTATTTTCTGTATAGTTTACAGAGTGTACCAGAAAATATTATGATATAAGTAGATGAGTAGGAAATAAAATTATCCTTATTACCCCATTAGCCATTTTTCATAGTATGAGAAGCTATCAGCCCAAAAAAATAGAAAAGTATTATAAGAAGCAGACATGCAAATGCATGCACACACAATTTTAAATGTAGAAATGATTGGGGAAATAAGCCAGAAGTCATTGCATTAGGCAATTGGCAGCTAGAAATGAGGGGTCCAAACACTAATGCTCAATCCTGCAGACACAAATAGGTGAGCTATTTGTGTCTGTAGGATCAAATTGCCTTTTCTTATTTGCATTTTGCAAGACCTCAAAAACTCGGGTCTTGCACACATAAGACCTGAGTTTTGAGGACAGGCTTAAAGAATTGAATCTAAAAATACTAAGAAAAAGATGAGCTAGAGAAAATAGTCATACAAGACATTAAGATTGGAAAAGGATAGACCGTTTTAGATTGGAAACCAACCTGTCCTACAAAGAATGTAGATTTTCACTCGTATGCATTACATAAGGCCAAAAATTGTTGAACTAGAAAATGAAAGCGGCTCGCGAAAGTGATGTACTCTCCAGTTTTCTGTTTTGGGTCCAAAGCAAAGGGTGTCTGACAGCTGAGTGGACAACGCTTCGGATTCGTAGTCCTGAGGTTCCGGGTTCAATCCCCGGTGGAGGCAGAGACAAATGGGCAAAAAATTTCTTTCACCCTGATGCCCTTGTTACCTAGTAGTAAATAGGTACCTGGGAGTTAGACAGTTGCTACAGGATGCTTCCTGGGGGTGTGTAACAAAAAGGAGGCCTGGTAGAGGACCGGGCCGCAGGGACCCTAAGCCCCGAAATTATCTCAAGATAACCTCAAGAAGATAACCTCTGGTAGGTTAGAAAAGGACACTTTAAATTTACTGTTTTCTTGACATTGGGAAAGCTTAGAAGGATGGGCTGGGAAAACATGAATAGATAATATATACATGAAACTTGAAGCCTAAATTAATCATAGGGATAGAATGAAATACTCCTTCAGTGTTTGAATAGTTATCATGAGGAATAAAGTGATGGAAGAATGTGGAAGAGATCAATTCATCCCACAGCAATAAACGTAGCTAGGACAGTCACAGGAATTTGACAGCAGTATTGCACTAGATATTGAATGTGAAGTTAATTCCCTTTATCTACACATGAATATTGGTAAGAAGAATATTTTCACTTTCATTCCCTTTAAAATCTAGTAAACTTTTCCCAGGTAAGAAAATACTGAAGCCATGAGATGGGGTCAAACCCACATCCCAGAACTCCTCAGGCACACTAGAGATACAGGTTCCATCCTATCATACACCTTCAATAGTTTTCACACATACATTGCAATCTTGTGATTTCTTGTGTTGCCAGGTGATAGGTAAACAAAGCTGCATATATTAAATCTGTAAGTAATTCAGCTTTAAACCTAATCACAAAAAACTATTTTACCTTTTCTCCTTTCTCAGTCATGAAGTTTGGCCAGTAACGAATTAGGGAAATGCCTCTCTCGGTGTCACTTAGGCACAACTCTCCGCCATCCTGTATCAGCCAGTCAGGAACATTCACACACAAACTCTCTGCTTCTTTGCTCTCCACCTGTATAAGGTATTGGATATTTTGCACAGAATAAGTCACAATACTGTGGCTGAAAATAAATAACCCAACCCACACACATAGAAAGGAAAGTAGTGATGTTTCTGTCCATCCTGGACCCTTATTGTGTTGCGACTTATTAAGGCTCCAGAATGGATTGAAAAGTTGCCACTTTCCTTCCTTTTCATAAAAGATCTAACCCACATCTGGACACACTGTTTTAGATGGGAAACAAAACTAGATGATACATATGAAAACTGTAAGGAATTGAATGTATAAATGACAGTAATGACATTTCAACCTGTCCTGGATTCTCATCATGTGACTTAATTTGGGTGTGAATTGGATTATTTATTAAACATTTGATGAAATGGGTTAGGAATTTTATTGATTCTACTTGTATTTTACACACACCAATAAATACAACATTATACAACAATAATTTGCAACAGAATCTGACACTATGCACATTAACATGAGGAATGGAACATGTTATTAGCAAAACCTTTGAGCAATGAGCAGCTCCTAAATTATTTACGTACTCCTGAGGAGATAAATGATGAGCGAAAGCAAATTACCTTTCAACAAGACCAATTGTTTACTATAAAACATGACATAAATGAAGCTATAACCTTACTGCTACTTTACCCAAGACCTAAGGCACAATCTGAAATAAGGAATGACTCGAATGACCACTAAATAGCTTGCCAGAAAAGATAACCTTAAAACTATAGCTGAAGTGGGCTAACACGTTAGTGAGGTCCTAATGTATAATGAAAACCAATTCATGTAAGCACATATTGTATTAATATTACTTAAACCACTGAGAAAAAGACTAACTTCTTTTGGAAGAGGAAGGTCGAAATTGTTGGCCTCTCGAAGAGAATATCTATTTGATTCATTAAACCTCGAGAGCTCAGGACTATCTCTGCGAAGAGGGAGATCGCGCCTATCATCATGATTCTCTCGGAGGTGGGCATCGTCTTTTTGTGCGTAGGGGGAATATGTGCCTAGGTTGGTGCCGTATGACCCATAGTCGGCTCTGTGAGTGGGCGGAGCACTAGGGCCCGGAGAAGCTGTATAATTGTTGTCATACTCAGGTCGATACTGCTGACCAAGATCAAAATTATCCAAGCAACTCATCTTGTAAGGGGGTTCATCTTTCAAACTGTAATAAGAAATTTGTGTTAGGTTTCTGATAGTTAATTATATCTACAAATGAATTTATTAATCTACCTTTTTATCCTTTCTTGACATTGTAAAATCTTCAATGGATGCTCCTCACTAAATATTTCAACACCTTTCATGAATATAACATGTCAGCAATATGATAAAGTAGTAAGGTTTTTACTTCTTTAAAAAGGTATAGTACTTCTTTTTAAAGAAGTAAAACGTCTTAAAAAACTTTAAACCACTGAGAAAAAGACTAACTTCTCTAGGGAGAGGACGGTCAAAATTGTTGGCCTCTCAAAGAGAATATTTAACTTTAACGAAGAGAATAATTAACTTTCAAGAAGTTTTTAGTAACTGGAATTTCCTTACTATCATTAGCCACTAGCTGAACTTTTGTAGTTACAATTTCTACAGATAATTTGCCTAAGTTAATTACTTTACAAGACTATAAGTAATGCAAGGAGCTGACTTCATATGTTACTGACTGACTTAACATATTTTAATTAAATATGGGCCAAATTTGCTCTGTTTTTCAAACTGGGGCACTTTATATTTCTTTATTATTAAATAAGTACTCTTTTGCAATTGCCTGTAATATATAGCTTCCCCCCTTGTGTATCACTTCTCCCACCTTGTAGTAAGGCCTAATTATACCTAATATTATACAAATATTCTCCAATAATCTGTCCCAACCCTCAACCTGTTCTCGCACTTGCTTACAGTCAATATTGGCTTATTTAATAAGTGCATATGTGACATACTAATTGATTGTGAATATTTTAGTTTACCTTGAAAAGCTTCATAGAAAATACCGACCTCACCTAACCTTCTTAGTATGTTAAGATAAGCATCTTATTGCTTCTTATCTACAATTATTACTTAACCTATCAACGGTATAGGTTGTACCTATACATAATAATTGTACATAATCTACAATTATTACTTAACCTATCAACGGTATAGGTTAAGTAATAATTGTAATTAAGAAGCAATAAGATGCTTATCTTAACACTTTTGCCCGGGCATGACGCAGCATTGCGTCATCCGTTTACTGTCGGTAATGCCGGGGATGACGCAAGCATTGCGTCATCCACTTTAAATAATCGCCAAAAATCAGGTTTTTATCCGATTTTTGGGGGACTTGTTTTAAAATGCGTGCCGATGTCTTCCCTTTTTCTTTGTTGCGCCTCGTGGCCCGCACGCGGCTCGGCACACGCCGTCGGCCCATTGTTTTCGCTCCACTGTTGTGACCAATGTTGCCTCCCCTCGCATCTCAAACGTGTGAAAATTTCGGCTATTTTCTGTGGCTATATTTCTTACTGCAGCTTTAGAAACTATCTACGCTTACTCCACGATGGATAGTGATCATGAACAAGGCCCTTCCAGGAAGAAAATTGCGAAAGAAAGGCTTGAAAAGGGCGGGAATTGGGAGTGTAGCTGGAAGGCGTCTGAGCGCTCACTCGCGGCTAACGCGTGGCCCGTCTTCAACTCGTCGGCGGTTGGAGCGTGACCAGGTTTTTTATTTTATATGCTAATGTTCCTCTAGAGAATTCTATTGCGAACCAATTGAGACCAAAATGAAAGACCTAGGACAAAAATTGAGGTGACCAGAGTGAAAATAGTGAAAACATTTTATCGCGTTTGCGCACTCCTGGGTAACTCGTTCGCACTTTCTCTGTTTGCTGCTGGTAATTAGCCGGGCTTTTGGAGTTTATATGCATTTAGTGCTGTAGAGAATTCTATTGCGAACACAATGATACCAAATTTAATCTCGTAGGACGAGAATTAAGGTGACAAAGTTGAAGAGAGTATACACTTTTCAGAATTTACGCGCGCTCCCGTGACACCCTGGGACCCAAATCGCACAGTTGAGGGGTGGCGCGTGGGGTACGCCAAAGTGTTAACATACTAAGAAGGTTAGGTGAGGTCGGTGTTTTCTATGAAGCTTTTCAAGGTAAACTAAAATATTCACAATCAATTAGTATGTCACATATGCACTTATTAAATATGCCAATATTGACTATAAGTCAGTGCGAGAACGGGTTGCAACCCTCATTGCCCTACTATATTAGTTCCATATACAAGTCAAAGAGCAAGCTGCTTGGACATTTCATATTAGTGAGTAATACTATTTTAGAGATGGTTTGCTTCAAAGCATTCTAACCTATGAAGAAATTAGCACAACTGTTTTATGTACATAATATAGGGAAAACAGGGTACAATGCAAAATCAAAAACTGAATAAACTTACACAAATTTAGTAGTACATCACAATACCAGGCTGTACAAATTAACACTATACCTATACCTTAGAGGTGACACTGAATCTTAGTTCAATGATTATTTCTGCAGATTATTTATCTTGGAATGTTGTCTAATGCTCTAGTCATGAAAATGCATGTGGTTTATCACACCTCTCCCTCCTCTGTCCCTCTTCCCGTCTCTCACATATAGTCTCAACACCTCTCCCTCCTCTGTCCCTCTTCTCATCTCTCCCGTGTAGTCTCCATACCTCTCCCTCCTCTGTCCCTTTTTCCATCTCTCACGTGTAGTCTCCATACCTCTCCCTCCTCTGTCCCTTTTTCCATCTCTCACGTGTAGTCTCCATACCTCTCCCTCCTCTGTCCCTCTTCCCATCTCTCACGTGTAGTCTCCATACCTCTCCCTCCTCTGTCCCTCTTCCCATCTCTCACATGTAATCTCCACACCTCTCCCTTCATATGTCTCACCTCTAATCTCTTTCTTGACTTACATGTTTTCTGCCTCTCACCTCTCATCTGGTTACATTTTTATTCTAGTGACTGCCTGTTTCCAGTTGACAATGATTTAACTTGACAATGAATTGACAATGATCCAGGACTGACATCAATACATTAGGTCTATCTCCACTAAAAAGCATCACTGCCGCTACAGTACAGTGGCACCTCGATTAACGAGCGGCTCTATCTACGAGCATTTTGAGTAATGAGCGAGCCAGTCGCAGCAAATTTGTCTCTATTGACGAGCTTCACCTCTATTAATGAGCAAAACCACATGGGGCTTCCTAGCGTCTCGGTGGTTCTCGCAAATTCTCGGACGCCTCCGACGCCAGTGTTGTTGTTGTATCGCGCACGACAAGCATCCCTCTGCATTTATTTGTGTTTTTCTTTGTTTTTTTTGTGGTTTTGTGACCACAATTTGTGATGCACGATGTGGCCAAAGAAGCTGCTTGCTAAAGATAGTGTTGTCAAGAGGAAGAAAGAGACAATTACTGTGGATTTGAAGAAGGAAATTATAGTACAGCATGAGCGTGGTATCTGTGTGACTGGTCTCACAAGGGAGTATGGCAGGTCCTCATCAACAATTTGCACCATTAGTAAGGGGATGAGGAGGTAAGGGAGGATGCTGCCTCTTCCAGTGAGATCAAGGAAGTGTTGGGAATGTTTGAAAAGGTGACCGCATTCTTGGAAAAGCATCACCCTGATAAAGCAGTGACAACCCGGTGTGTGAACATGTTTGATGACAATTTACTGTCTCGTTTTAGGGACATCCAAAAACAAAGACAAAAGCAATTGTCAATAGACTCGTTCTTTGCAAAAGTAAAGACCAGCAAGTGGTAGTGAACCACAACCCTGTCTCAGTGGGGTGAAATTCACAAGAAGAGAGAGAGAGAGGCCGCTTGACTCAGAGATGGATTCTCCTTCCACACCATAACCCCTCTCCTCCTTCTCACCTCCCCATCGTCTCCCTCAAGCCAGGAACGACTCTTCATAAGATAGAGTAAACATGAAAACAGTACAACAAAACATTTATAATTACATGTGCAGTATTATATTTACATTATAAAATGTCATACAAGTATGAATGTTTTTGGGAGTGGAATGCATTAAATTTATTTCCTTTATTTTAAATGGGGAAATTTATTTCTTAAGACGAGTGTTCCACATAACGAGCTCAGTGACAGAACGGATTAAACTCGTTAACCGAGGTGCCACTGTACTTAATCCATAAACATTGCAGTGATTTAGAAGTACAGTACAATAAGGTACATACAATTAAAAATGGGTAAGAAATCAAATGTGAAAAATTGCACATGGTAATTGAAGCCTAAGAGTAAATTGAAGATAATGATTGGAGTAGTGTTAAGCAATCAATTCCTTCCTCTAAATAACTGTTAACTGCAACCAATCACTCCTATTAATTATCTACTGAACCATTTATAATTGTCATTAATGATTTTTTTAAGTAAAACATAATCAGAAAACATAATAATCTATTATTTTATAACAATACATACTTGTAATCATCTAGGTGCCTGCGTTTGTTGAAAAGTGGAGGGCTATCAAAGGCTGAACGGCGTGAGTCCACGGGAAACAGGAGCCCATCTCGGGGGGTAAGAGCATCCATTTGATTCTGCAGAGGTCCAAAACCGGGTGGGTATAAACCAGGAGGACCTAAACCCAAAGATGGTGGAGGCCTAGGAAACAAAGACAGTGTAAAGAAAAGAAAAACAAATGCAAAGAATGGAGGCATTTTCAAAATCAAAACAGATATTTATTAAAAAAGGAAAAGCACAACTACTTAATTTGTGAAAGGCAGGAGGCCCTACACTGCACAAAAAACCAGCGTTGAATGTAATGAAACGCCATTTTCTGGGCGAGTCCCGGAGGCTTCCCGGAGCTATCCAGGCTGCATGGATATGTATAACTTTCTGGCATTAGTCAAAGTGCTTGGAGTTCTTACCTACCGAGGACCACGAGCCAGAACCTGGCCCCCTCAGAGAGGCATGAGGAGCAATGGCCTTAGAAACCCCTTTGTGGTTGGGAGCATTCTATGTCTGCCATCGACCGGGATAGGCACCCAGAAAGGTAGGCGCCTCAAAACAAACCCCTATTCTGGTGAAAATATTGCTACTGAAAGCCGAACGAGTGGACAGAACTCTCCAAACAAAATTATCAAACTAGCATGACGTCATCACATCGCCGCGCCGCCCTCTGCGCTCCCCCCCGCCCCTTCCCGGGAGGGGGAAGGGGGAGCCCAAGACCCTCCGTGCCAGCGATCCAACCAACAGTTCTTAGGCTGGATGTCAAAATACACAAAAAACACCGCTGACCGGAGGGAGGGAGGGAGGGGAGTCGGGGAGCCTCCGGAACTCACCCAGAAAATGACGTTTCATTATATTCAACGCTGGTTTTCTGGGGAAAGCCCCTTCGGCTCCCCGGAGATACCTCACCACAGATAAGGTAAAGAGGGAAGGATCCGGGATGCGGATGCCACGCACCCTAACATAAAATCAAGATCACAGGCGAAACTAAAGGATCTAGCCAACGACCTGGGAGACCCGAACCCCAAAAGAGAAAGGAGGGAAATAAGGGAGCCCGGGCAAACCAAAAGGCATCCACGGCCCCAGAGGCCAAGATGTGCAGAGAACAGCGAAGAGCCGCAACCGAACAACAAATGAAGCACTCCCAGCCTGACCAACCAAGCAACAGCCCAAAGACCCCTCTGGACAGCAGCAGACCCAAACATCACCAGTAAAACAGGAGACTGCATCAATCAAACAACCTACCACGAGGACCAAACGAGGCAGAAAAAACACGGGCGCTGGAAACTCCCCGACCCAACCCCTAGAGGTCAATGCCAACAGAAGAAGGAGACCTGAAAAAGAAAACAAAACACACCAGAACCGAAGGGATTAAGACAAACTGAGGAGAAGAAAGAAAATAGACCACCCGGGCCAATGACCAGGACGGCACCAGAAGTGCAAGAGCAGGCCGGAGGTGAACAACGCCCAAGACAACAAGAGGAACGGAGCAGAAGGAACAGCAAAACCGAATGCAAGCTGGAGCGGCTCCGCCAGCGCCATCCAAGACGAGGGGACAATACACGGCACCAGACGACGGTCCCGGAACAACCCCGAAGGGAAAGACAAGACAACCCTATCAGAGACCGAAGAACCCTTCGCAGTGATAGGAAAACCGGAAGGACCGCCAGGAAAACTACACACTACCGCCGAGACGAAGCATGCAGGTGGTCTAACAGCGGACCACCAGTGCCCACACAAGCGATGAGAAACTCGAAACAAAAACCCGAGACCCAAAGACTCGAGGGGAAAAACGAACCAGCTTCGTATAGGGCTGGATTGATCTGCAAAAAGAGGCAGAGCCGCGGAAAGACCCTCAGCATCGGAAATCGAGTAAAGCAACGCCCCCAACCAAGGCTGGCAAAACCCAGAAGGAACGGCCGCCAGGGAACCAGGAACCCAATCTCGGCGAGCCGAAAAGGAACCAACCCGGGCGAGCAGCCATGCCCCGACCGGGAGGAACCCCAACCCCCAGGACCCCTGAAGGACCAACAAGACCAAACACCAAAGAGCCAGGGCCCAGCCAGAGGCCAACAAGGAAAACGAGCACCATGAACTAAAGTGAGAGACGCGAAGCGAAAAACAGTGGCCCCGCTACCCAAAGGAGCAACGTAACCAACTCCAGCAGGGAAGAAAGACGTACGCGTCTCCGAGGTATACATTAGGAGAACTACGCAGGACGTGTCCCACAGGAAAACAAAAATGTACATTCCGAAAAAGGAACAAAGAAATGCTGTAGCCAGGACCGGAATCCTAGCTACCCCTTTCCCAAGAAAAGGAACCAGTAGGGCAGAAGCGGTTGACCAGAAGTCCACAAAACATCCGCAGACATTGCAACACAGAAGCCTGCAGTGAGATACAAGGAAAAGTGAAAGAACCCAGTACCAAAACTGAACACTAGGGTAGTCCAAAATCAGGGAACTGAACATGGACAGAGGCCCACCCCAGCAGCTAACAACAGTATAGCCAATAAGCACTGACCAAGATACACAGCATGTAGAGCATAGAGGGAGGAAAAATGGAAATAGGCAAGGAAAAGACTGGAACACGGACCAAGTAGCAGCCGGTAACGCAATGAACATGACCAACCACATCGTGTGTTGTGGGTGGTCGCACAGACACAGGGGGACACCATGGATATCAGGGTGCAGCCAGGCACCGAAGATAGGCAAGGAAGGGGTGTCCAGTTATCGAGAAAAGACCCAGGCACCGAAAACTAAACAAAAAGCACCGAAATCCGGGGCAATGCCCACAGTACAACTAAGAACAAGATACACGAACAAAGTAAAGACACTGTAAGACACACGCAAAGTGTCCAAGCAAAACACACAACACCCCTGTTAGGTGCCATGGATGCTACCTTGTCAAGTGGGAAATTGACAGGGTAGACATGGATGGATTCTGTAACACGGGTGGCACATGCACAAGGGGGACACAGGTACCCAAATGAGTACCCAAATGAGCAACAGAGACATTAAAAAGAACGTTTCCAGTGCCAGAGTAGTTAGGAAATAAAATGCACTGGGAAGTGATGTGGTGGAGGCAGACTCCATACACAGTCTCAAAATGTAGATAGGATAGAGCCCAGGAGGCTCAGGAATCTGTACACCTGGTAAATGACAGTTGAGAGGCGGGACCAAAGAGCCAGAGTTTAACTCCCGCAAGCACAACTAGGTGAGTACAACTAGGAGAGGACCCCACCAAAATGTGAGAAGCAGCACCTGGCCGACAGAATCGCCAGACAGTACAATCTTACCTGCAGAACAGACACACCACCGTGTCATGACACAGCTGAGTCGTACAATGTAACAGGAGCATCCCTAGTGGAGAATGTCCAGAGGTGCGTGTCCTGTAGGACAAGACGAGGTGCATGCAGTACAGAGGCGGAGGCGGCGCCACTCAGAGCCGCCCCCACACTCACAAGCCGAGAAAAGAACTAGAAGATTGCCCCACACATAAAATCCAGAACACCGAGTATCCAGGGGGTTATGACCGGAGATAAGAGGAGTGAGAACGGCGAAGAACCTGCGAGAAAGGACGCGGAACACCAACTCACGTGCACACCGTCCAAAACATAAACAACCCCCCCCCCCAGTCACCATGCCTGAAGACCGAACCGCACACCCGTCTTCCGGCGAAGGGTGCCAGCAAGGCGTATGGAACGAATAATAGGAATGGTAAGACAGGAAGGAGAGACAGTGTGAAGACTAAATAATGCAAAAACAGAACCAAAAGAAGACAAGAAGAATGGAAGAGGACCAACGAGTCTGAGAAAGGACTAGAGGGAAACCTCACTTGAAGTCAACAGATGTTCCAATAATATTGGAAGTATCGAAGAGTTCAGCGAACCAACGAGAACCGTGAGAAGCAAGCGCAAATGCACGGAGGCACACATGACCCAAAGAGACCTCTGACCAAGGGACATGCAGGGATCCTGATACAAAAGGAACATGTACGCGACATAATCGCAAAAAGGAGAGGAAAGGGGGGAAAAACACCCGCAAGAATGATGGAACCAATAGACCCGAAGGGACACAGAACCTAACCTGGGGAGGGGTAGACACGAACCAACACAAACGCAGAGGGGCTAAGGAAAAACTCACTCTGAGGAACTGCAAGCCCCGCTACGAGGATACAGAAACCCAAGCGGGGCAAAATGGGGCCAAGACCTCCCAGGCAACCCCTCCCCAACCCCGGGAATGTTTATGGCAGGACCCAGGGCCGAGTCGTTTCCCCCAAAGTCCCAGCCCTACTAGTAAAAGCCGGGGCAGCCGTACAAAATACTAAGGAAGGGAGCCCACTGGTCAGACCCATACAGCACGGCTGGAGGAACAGGCTCGAATGCCTCCGCTGCCAACCCGGAAGGGAAAAAATTCTGAGACCACTCAAGTCTCAACCCAACCAGACCCTGCCCCAACTCCAAAAAACCAGCGTTGAATGTAATGAAACGCCATTTTCTGGGTGAGACCCGGAGGCTCCCCGGAGCTTTACCGGCTGATATGCTAATGTCAGACTTTGGCATCAGTCATGTGTATGGAGTTCTAGGGCCTACCGGGGACCACCGCCAGAACCTGGCTCCCTCAGAGAGGCAAGGGGAGCAATGGCCTATAGAAACCCCCATGTGGTTGGAAGCATTCTATGTCTGCCATCGACCGGGTCAAGCATCCAGAAAGGTAAGCATTCCAAAACAAACCCCTATTCTGGTGAAAATTGCTACCTAAGCCGAACTAGTGGATAGAACTCTTCAACAGAAAACAAGGAAACTAGTATGACGTCATACGTCACCGCGCCGCTGTCTGCGCAGCTCCCCCCTCCCCGGGAGGGGAAAGGGGGAGCCCCAGACCTCCCACACCAGCTATCCACCCATCAGTTCTGAGGCTGGATGTCAAAACACGCGAAAAACCGCCGACCGGAGGGAGGGAGGGTTGCCGGGGAGCCTCCGGGTCTCACCCAGAAAATGGCGTTTCATTACATTCAACGCTGGTTTTCTGGGGGGAGCCCCGTTGGCTCCCCGGAGCTAACTACCCACAGAGGAAGGTCAAAGGGACAGAACTGGGAGGCGGACACCACGTACCCCCCAAGGAGGCGAGACAACCGGCAGCAAACGCCAACCC